GGTCCCCGCTGCAGTCTTGCGGGGAATGCCACTACTCCCGCCGCGCGCAATGGACCCGTAAACGTCATCAAAATCGGAACTAAAGTAGTTTGAGGAGCAGTCACAATTGCGACACTCGTACCGGCAGTTGTCCGAGTAGCTACACTTGTCAGCCGACCCTGTTAGCGGGACTCCCACTCCTGTTGCGACTCCGGTTCCCGATCCCATCCCAATGACCCCGTCCAAGCTGCACCGCCTGCAATCGTAACCGAACCTGCTCTCAGAACTCCCGTAATAGCGTCTCTGGCCGGAGTTGGAGTACATCGAAAAGAGACTGGAATCACTGACCCGTCCACCGTGTCGCCGGTGAGGGTGGCGAGCGTAGCGCTGGGAGTTATCGCTGCTGCGGAGCGAGAACTCGCTGAGAATGGAGGCTTTGGAGTCGCTTTTGTACATCTGGGGGTCGTAGGGGTCCACTAGGATCTGGGATCCGCCGATGGGCCGGCTGGCAGCGTACATCAGCGGATGGAGGGGCGGGGCACCACTAACTGCGTAGTAAAGGTCACCAGTGGCCGGTGCGGCAAACACATTGGCCTCCAGGCGCGCCATAGTATTGTATTTGTGGTAGGGCAGCGAGTCGCTGGAGGATGAGGATTTTGTGTTCAGCCGCTGCAAGGAGGCCACGCCTGAGCCGGAGCCAGAGCCTCCGTTTTGGTAGCCCACAATGTAGTGCTGCTGCTGCAGCTTGCGCGGCGGCGTGGCAGATCCGTGTGCGGCCCCAGTCCCGGCCACTTGGGCCAGAAGCAGGCTGCCACCCACGGCATAGTGGCTCGACATTGGATTGCCCACCATGGGTGCCTGGAAAGGCCTTTGGTGGACATGGGCATGCGGGTTTGGATGCGAGAGGTAGTAACCGCCGTAAATTTGCTGCTGGAACTGATGCTGCTCGCTTGGGGTTGTGGTCGCCGAGGTGGACGTGGTCGCCGAGGATTGCTGGAACTGGAGTATAGGATTATAGTCGCCGGTTATGGCCACAGGTGTGGTTTCTATTTTGTACACGCCCGGATTGTTGGGATTGTATGACTGAAATTCCAGGATATGTGCGGCCGGCGCAGTGGAGGATGTGTGCGCCTCGCTATTATCCTCCTGAGACCTGTGGCTGTTGTACGGCTCTGGCTGCTGTGGCTGGCCCTTCATATTGCCGCCTGCCGCCGTTGGCCCCGCTTGTTGTGTCAGGCAAAACTCACAGTTGTCCTTGCTGCACTGCTCCATGCAGATCTCGCACTCCGCAAAGGCTTCTGCGTCGCCTGCCTCGCTGGTCGTGCTCATGTTATGTTGTAACTGGGCGTCCTTGTCGGATAAGGCAGAGGCGACGCCACTTACTGCACCTGTGACCGAGGATGACACTGTGGTGGGCGTATCCTTAAAGAAGATCTCCTCGTAGATGTTCTCCTCGCTGCGCGAATGCCGCTTCTCCGCCTTGGCTGCCTGAGGTGGCCGGGGCTTATCCACCAGCTTCTTCGAGCTCTTTAAGCCCTCCTTAATGAGATAGTAATTAAAGCTTTTAATTCCGATTTCGCCACGGAGGAAGCGTTTGCCAATCGCAACCTTCGTTGCCTCGCCAACTGCCTCCACGGGCGCTGTGGCCGCGGAGTCCTGCGCCGAGCTGCGGGCGGAGTAGACGTCGTCTAGTTCGCTGACCTCCGCTGGGGTCACTTTCGTGGCGCCCTCACCGTAATACTTGCGGTTCCGTTCCTTGCGAGGACGGCTCTCAAAGTCGTGGACCTGCTTGCCCGCTGCCACTGCTGCCTCCCGTTGGGTATGGACTCCGGCTAGATGGCGACTGTTGTCGAGGCTGAGGTTCCTCTTCTGCTTGGAGCTGCGCTTTTGCGCGACCTTCTTCTCGTACGGCACTCTTTCTGCCGTCGTGATGGCCAGACTGCGTTCGAGACTTCGCACTCGGCGGGTCATGTTGCCACCCTTGATGGGGTCAAGCGGCTCATTGTCCGTGCTGCTTGAATCACTTTCGTAGTTCAAACTGGCGGCTGTGCTGCCGGACGCTGCACCGGCCGACTGTGGACCCTTGATTTTGTCCTGTTTTCCCGTCACATATTGGTGAAGCTCCTTAGTTAGCTGGTGCCTGGCCAACAGGCTGCTGGATGAGGCATCGGACCGGGATTTGTGCTCCGATAGGGGTTTGCCCGAGATGCTGCTGCGGCGCATGGGGTTCGCCAAGTGGCTTATGTCCTCCGTATAGGCAGGATCATCGTAAATCCGTTCGCGCACCGAAGTGGATGAGCGGTCCTTCGTCTAGCACAAAACAATTATGAGCCATATGCCATAGGGAATCTAACCAGGGCTTACCTTGACTTTGTTCTTTTTCCGACTGCGGTGAGGTATCGTCACATCCGTCAATTTTAAGAGCTTTGGTCTCAATGAACGCTTTGACCCCTTGCCTCTCTCGTACGTCAGGTCCAAATAGGTCTCGGTTGTCATCCTTCAGACTACGCACAAGACGATGGTAATCGGCTGTGATGGATGGACCAACTTTTTTTTAGAAAAATGCAATTACTGCCAAGGGCAAGAGATTTTTATCTAATTGTTGTGGCCAGATTTTGGATTCAACAAATTTAAAACAATTTAGTCGTGCATTTTTCTTGTGTATAAAATGACATTTTAAAGTATTTAAATATTCTAGAATTCGATTTCCAATTCGATCTCATGACCCTTTTGCAAAATGCGAAGCGTATACAAACTTCGACTGCGAATTTAGCCTCCTTTCCTGTTTGGTTTGAGTTCGCCTCACTTACAGCTTGTATATTCTAAATGTTTATCTCAACAAGATACAGGGCTTCGTTAATGTAACTTCTACTACCTTAATTATTCGATATGAGGGACGTTTCCCCATGCGAACATCGAAAGCACTAATATTTTAGGGTGTGGCTGTGTAGGATGCGTGGCCAATGCATCAAGTCTTATCACTCCTCTTGGCCTAACAGGATATACGGGCACACACTGCGAGTGACAGACATATGTGAAACAAATGGGGATTGACAAATATGTGCACCTTGGGGCGGGGCGGCATTTGTTATTGTGGATTAACTGCACCCGCAAGTCAACAAGGACACTCGGCTATCGAAATATAAAGCAGGAAATTCAGTCATGCAGGAAATGAGCATAGACATCGAAGTAGGGATGAAGCTAGAGCTAAAAGCCATTGTGAATCATCAAGCATCATCGCAAATTTCCATATACATTATGTATTTCCCGCATTTTGTAACTAATACACAGTCAAGGCATTTATCCTTGTATACACACACTGTCATGCGTTTTGTAGTATCCTCGAAGTGCCCTATTGTGTGCAATGCTCCTCCATTCGCACAACTGAGACGCGACGCCCAAACGTTCCGCCCGTTACGTCAAAACCAAACTGAATTGGTCCGCGCTCGCGATTCCTACAGCTTGCGAGTGCTCGTGAATGAGACAGCCGTCGCCGCTGCCGTTGCCGTCGCCTTCCTGGCAAGGATGCTGAGTTGACATACGCCGAGTCCAAGTACCGAGGAGAGTGCCAGTGCCAGTGCCGGACAACGTGGCAACACACACTTGACGCCTGCGCTGTGATTAGCCATCGTTTGACAGTTACACGCTCATCCGCAGCTATACTTTCACGGAGTCCGTAAACCGGACTCCATCCGAAGTAGCCACCAGGAAAAGGTCCCTTACTTGTTGAGTTGTGGCTCAGGTGCACCACCAGCCCAGCACAGCTCCTGTGACTTGATTGATTCGCCGAATATCTCCTGAGGTTGCCGATAGCTGCTTGGTTCCCCTGACGGCACTGCGCATGACTCACCCAGTGGTGAAGTGGAGTGCGTAATTGTTGATTGTGGAAATACTCATTTTGCCATCTGTAGTATGCGGAGGGACTTCCGCAATCGGCAGCCCACCCACTTGTCTCCGCCTGCCTTTATTTTGGCACGTGTTCACGCACACCGTTGCAGAGCAGCAACATGTTGCTGAGCTTGCGTGTTTGTCGGAGTTCGCCTTAGTCCTGGCGTCCCCTATTTACATGTATTGCACATTAGCACCACATCCTGCATTACATCGCCACGGTTCGCACATCTCCCACACCATCGTTGGGAGCCAGACACAGACGTAGGCTTTCCCAAATATGTTCTTCTATTTTGTTTGCTTCGAACATCTCCCGTTTTTAAATACTTTTCCTATTTGTTATGTTTGTGTAACGATTAGAGAGCTGAACATGGTCTTACGTGCCGAATGTCAGCCCAGAAATATTACAAGAACAAGCGAGACGCTGCTCTGGGGGCTAGGGGTTTTGCATGTATGTAACTCAAATCTGTCACTGTCACCAGCAGATAGAGACACCGACACTTGAACACGAAGAGGATACACCAAACCAATTCCGAGTCTGGAACACGCAGGGGGCGTATGCCAGGACAGCGATACATCAATCCACAGGCATCGCAGCAAACATGTGCGAAATGTTCAGCTTGCCAACGTCATGATAATTGAGCTTGTTTCGCTCTTCACCAGCAACTCTCAAATTAACCAATCTTGAATTTGCAAATGAAAAGGGGTTTGAAGGTAATAAATCACTTGGTGTTGAGTTTAACTAGAATGTTGAGTACCGGAGCATTAACGCCTGAATAAACCATACAGAATTGCCTGAAAATAATTTTTTAAATATATCTACGATTCAAATTTCTTCATATGAATGGAGAAACCTCTTTCCGAATTAAAATTAATGCATTTTTGGCTTAGTTATGATGGATTTCAAATTCGTCCCCTGATCCAATTGTAACCTGCAAGAGTTTGGTTTGCCTAACTTATCATCCTTTCCTTCAAAGATATTAAATCATTTAGGTGCATAAGCCCTTGCTCAGATTGATCAGGTTTAAATTAACTCTGTATCAGGCTCAACGGCAATACGAAGTCATTTTAAGCTTGATAACTGGAGGCCAACATAATTTGCGTGAATTATAAAAATATAAACAAATAGTTTCTGGTTTAAATTACTTTTATTGTAGTTTATGAAATGAAATTATAAGGAACACTTGTTTTAATTCCTCTGGAAGCCACGCGCCCAATTTTTGACCACCGGCCTTGACCTGCAGCTCTTTTCCAGCTCGTCTGCCTGCATTTGCTCTTCGAGCCTTCGCTGGTTCTCCCGGAACTGTGATATGGGATCTCTGAACTGTCCGTAGTACTGCAGCACTTCGCGGACGTCATCGACTCCGTTGGTGCTCAGGACACGGAGAAATGCCCCTAGATCAAACAGGGTAGTGTCGTCGTCGTTTCCTGACCAGCGCGGTATCGCAAAGGAGTTTGAGGGATGGAGCTTGGTGGTGTTTCTATCCCAGTCCACGACCACCACTCGCTTGAGGTCTCGGTTGAGGTTGTTCAGGTTCTTCACATGATGTCCCTCAACGAAGTGCGTCGAGTCCCGAACCAGGCGATACATAATATATCCCTTGGGATCAAGAGCTTCCAGGATCGGGAACACCGTGGCTCCTTGCTCTGCGGTGTAAACCACGATTTCGAAATGCTTGGCGCACTCCTCTAAGAAAAGGTCAACGCCGGGACGCTTTTTGAAGCGCCAGCCCGTTTCGTACGTCCAGTCCGGGTGCACCAGAAGGTCCTTTATCTCCAGCACCAGAGTATAAGCTGGTTGGACGTAGGGTGGCTGTAGGGGGTCGGGAAGCAGTTTCAGACTCGATGGCTCCTGGATAAATCGCTGGAATTGGTGCGCAGACTTCCAACTTCGAGCAATATACTGCTGCAGAAATGGCAAACTGCTAAACTCATCATAGACCTCGTTTCCCTGCTCGTCTAGAGCCGGCTGGCCAAAGTAGTATAAGGCCCAGAGGGAGAAGAGTATGCCGCCCACGCTAAAGAGTCCGAAGCCCTGCTGCATCCGCTTCCAGGAGCGCTCCATTTCCCTTAACTCCTCCTCCTCCCGCTGGCGCTGCTCGCAGCTCTCCTCTTCGCCGTACTCCACGCTGGTCTGGGGAAAGAGCTTGGATAGGATCTGCGTTGACGTCTTTTGCTGCGTCGAGTAGTGTCGGTGCGCAACGTAAGCCAAAGACGAATTGAAGGAGTGCGTTAGGAATCTCAAAAAACCTGCACTGCATTCTGCAGTGTCCGTCCTTCCAACCTCCGAACTGTGTCCTTCGATAGTGGGACGCCACAGGCCCAAGGCCAGCGCCCGTCTAGTGATGAACTGGCGGTGCAGCCTGGGGCTTCTGCACAACAGCCGTGCGATCCTTCTTAAAGTCATCTTTGAGGTCTTGCAATGGGGTTTCGATGGGGTTTCAGTATCCAAAACTAGCCACTATTAAATTTGACATTCTTGTGTCAGCCGAGAGCAGTACAATTTGTTTGTCAGTGTAAAATGTTTTGACGATTGAGCAGCAACTTTTTGACTGCGACAAACTCGGTCTAAACAAAAGCCTCATAGCTCACATGTTGCTTGGAGAGTGAGAGCTTTTTCGAGCAGTATTTAAATATTTGCAAATATTGCGGGCTCGCCATGTTGCGCAATCCTGAGCATGGCGGCATATCGCTTACGCCCCGATGTATCGCATCGGTGGATGCCACAAAATCTTATATCGACCAACACACATACAGTACAGGTGCAGTTTTCCTGTGTTTATAAAAATTGCATTCAGAGCCAAATAAATAGCTGCAGCGGAGATTAAGGTGACGGAGATGAGACCAGAGGACTCCTTGGCCATCTGAAATTACCGCCGGAGTTATCCAGCTTGCACATCGTTGTGTGCATTTTCTGAAGGCTTCAACCAGAGAGAAAAGCTATTTTTACCGGCAGGCGTCTAGTGGAGACATCAACAATGTCGCCGCCACGTAGCTTCAATCGGGGATTCGGTGGTGGAGGAGGTGCGTAGGCCGGAGCTATTTGCTAGGATAAACTCATTTATCGTATTTCTCCAACACATTCAGTGCATGCCGGTCGCGTGGATAGACACAGCAGACGGAGCAGTCCTCGGCGAAGAACCGGTGGATTCAATCGCGGTGGGGCATCGTCTTCCAATGGCGAGTTTTCTGGTATGTCCAGACGATCCAGTGGTCTCCCATGTACACTCACTCCGATGGTACTCCTGCTCTATTCAAACAGATTTGCGAGGTGTTAACTGGAGCAATGTACAGCTGGCTCCCTTCGAAAAGAAGTTCTATAGGGAGCACCCAACGACGGGCAATCGTCCGGCCCAGGAAGTGGAACGCTACCGGGCCCAGCATGAGATTACGGTTCGCGGCGAGGCGCCCAATCCCATACAGCACTTTGACGAAGTCTGTTTCCCTGACTACTGCATGAGCGAGATACGGCGGCAGCGGTACTCGGAGCCCACACCCATACAGGCCCAGGCCTGGCCCATTGCCATGTCGGGTCACAACCTGGTCGGGATAGCCAAGACTGGCTCCGGGAAGACGCTGGCCTTCATTCTGCCCGCCATTTTGCACATAAATGGGCAGCAGCGCCTGCAACGAGGCGATGGCCCTATCGCCCTGGTGCTAGCCCCTACGCGGGAGCTAGCCCAGCAGATTCAGGCGGTGGCCAACGATTTCGGGTCGACTGCCTATGTGCGCAACACCTGTGTCTTTGGTGGAGCGCCGCGCTCCAGGCAGGCCAATGACCTGGAGCGCGGTGTGGAGATTGTCATTGCAACGCCGGGAAGATTACTCGATTTCCTGCAAGCCGGAGCCACCAATCTCCGACGCTGCACCTACCTGGTGCTAGACGAGGCTGACCGCATGCTGGACATGGGATTCGAGCAGCAGATTCGCAAGATACTGGGTCAGATACGGCCAGACAGGCAGATACTCATGTGGAGTGCCACTTGGCCCAAGGAGGTGCGCCAGTTGGCCGAGGACTTTCTGGGTAGCTACATACAGATTAATATCGGATCCTTGGAACTGTCGGCCAACCACAACATACGGCAGTACGTGGAGGTGTGTGGGGAGCACGAAAAGGGCTCCAAGCTGAAGGAGCTGCTCTCGCACATCTACGACCAGCCGAGCGCACCCGGAAAGATTATCATCTTCGTGGCCACCAAGAAGAAGGTCGACGAACTGGCCCGCTTCATCAATGCCTTTGGGGTGGGCGTAGGATCCATCCATGGTGACAAGTCGCAGGTTGACCGCGACAGCGTACTGAACGACTTCCGAAGCGGACGAGCAAATATTCTCGTGGCCACCGATGTGGCTGCCCGCGGCCTCGATGTTGATGGTATTAAGTACGTCATTAACTTTGATTTCCCACAATCCTCGGAGGACTATGTGCACCGGATTGGACGCACTGGACGAAAGCACTCGACGGGCACATCGTACGCCTTTTTCACGCGCAAGAATGCCAAATGCGCTCGTCCTCTCATCGATATACTCCGCGAGGCCAATCAGAATGTTAATCCGGAGTTGGAGAGCCTGGCTCGTGATTCGGGTGGTCGCGACCGCCATCGCGGAGGCAGAGGCTCCATGCGAAATAATGGTGGTGGTTCTTTTGGAAGATATAACCATAGCAGCGGCAGATCGAGCGGCTTTAACAGTTTCAACAGTAACAATGCCGACAGATTCGGAGGCAGATCATCCGGTGGATTCAGTAGTTCGGGCTTTGGAAACAGTTCAGGCAGAAGTTTCTCCTCCAATGTAAATTCAAATAATAGAGGAGGTGCCTTTTCAAGCGCTTCCACCAGCTCGAACTTTGGTAGTGGCCATTTGGGCTTATCGCTCAGCAAGTCTGAACACCATTAGTTTAGCGTCCTGCCACCCTATAAATATCCTCTTCAGAGCGTACTCGGACTTTGCTAAGCGTTAAAGAGACATTTCAAACCCATTTAGAATAAAAATGAACTATTCAACGGAAAACTAGTCTCCCAGTTTGACTGAAACTTTCTTCTTGATCCAAAAAATAACAAATTTCTCTTAAACTCTGGGGGTATTTTTGAGGCCTATCTGGTACCTCTATTGAATTTTGTTAAAACGAATAAAGATACCCTTTTCAAAAAGCTTTGAATGAAACCATGTTTGGATTGGATTTGTTTTTACAAAAATGTAGGTTCTAAAGTCTAAAAAACCACTTATATAAAATTAAATGCATCTGCTTTCAGTGCATAAATGGGCTTAATTACAACTGTTATTTAATCATGAGGCGAAAGGCGACGACCAGCTGTAAGAAAAGAAGTTTAGAATTAGTATTTAGCTAACAACAGTTTTCGCAGTCTCACCTTTCTCCTTGGGCTTTCTATCCTTTGTGGAACGGGTCGGTCCGTGTGATTTTCCGGCTCCATTTGCCTTGCACTTCTTGTTGACGGTGCGCACGGGATCGCAGTTCTGGTCACTGCCGCCGCCGGCTGCCTCTGCTTGGAGCTTGTCCTCTCTAGTCATTTGTCCGGCGTTGCATGTGGACCAAGCACCCCTCGCATAGCGGCAGCCTAACCGAAAAATAAGTGAGAAAAATAAACATTAAATTATGCACTCTTCATACTCATTAAAAACGGTTCTGTGACTTCCATTATATTTCATTCTATTCTCTTGTGCAGTTCAGGAAATGCGGAAAAAACAGAGGGGAAGGAGGGAAGCAGGAGCAACCTATAAAAGAGTCTGCCACTAATTGGAGGACACGCGTTGCGGCAAAAGGCGCACTTCGATTTTACAGACACTGCGCGTATATAGGTCAACGAGAATGATTAAGTGGAGCCCGAGCCGGAGCCTTTGGGCCTAATTAGACGGCATCGGCGGGGTGCGATGATTATGTATCGCCAACACCCACCTTTCTTGCACTTCTTCTGTATGGTCCTTGTGGGCAAGCAGTTCTGCTCTCCCTTCTTCAGCGACAGGACTCGCGTGCGAATGTTGGTCTTGGTGTCACAGCTGGACCAGGCGCTCTTGGCGTAGCGACAAGTCGACGCTGCAATAAATGCGGAGGAAATGCTATCAGAACTTTGATTTTTGTATTATCCTTACTCACCATTATTTTGCGTCCTCGGTTTGGCTCCCGTCTTCTTGCCTGCTCCATGGTGATGGCCGTGCTGCTGCTGCTTGTTTCCCTGTCGGGGTGGCTTGTCCGCATTCTTGTGTCCTTGCTTGTGCTTGGGATGTGAATGAGGAGGCGAAGCACTGGCATTTTCCGCGGCCAGAGGCTTCTTGGAGCCTTGCAACTTATTCCCCTTGCGGTTGTTCCTGACACGTTGGGTGTCCCCGTTCCCGTTGATGGCGGGTGTGGCGGCTGAGTCCTCCTCCACAGCCCCACGAACCGGACGTAGGTGTACGATATCACCCTCTTCCGTCTTCATTACAAGGTGGATCCCAGCAGCCCCATCTTGGCTATCAATTGATGATGGAATCTGGGCCAGTACCACTAGCACCAGCTGCGAAACCGTTGTCAATATTAGAAGGAGATTCATAGCTCCTTTCGTGAATCTGAATATGAAATATGAAATTTAATTTTAAAATTAAAAAAAAAAAAAAGGAAAACCTTAAAAACTCTTCTCGAAATAAAGCGGAATTTAATGAAAATGAATAGAAAGTTCATAGCTCCTTTCGGGAATCTGAATATATAATTTTTTTAAATAAAAAAAACCGGAAAACTTAAAAAAACCCTTCTCGAAATTAATAAAAAAAAAAAGAGTTGGAAGTCCTCAAAAAACGTCTGGATTATTAAATAGTTTTTAAAAATTTTTAAATTTTTATTTAGAAAAACCCTTTAAAAATGGTTTGCCCTGCATCTCTTGTATAGCTTCCCTTTGTTAATAAAATGTGACTAAACTATAAACTAAGAAATGTGAAATTCATGGCCTGAAATAATCAAGTTCTTTTTTTCTGTACATCTGGCGGACATATGTCCAATATGTTTCATCCAGCCAGCGGATATTTTGGTTTAATTCAACTTGAACCAAATGGTTTCGCAGTTGTTTTGTTAATTGTTTTGAAATTGTTGTGGCATGTTGTTTCCTTATCCAAGATTTAAAATGTACACTTGCCACCCTACCCTCCAAAATCAGTGGCTCGGGAACTCTTATATGGCTATCGCTCTTCCACTCGACGCAGTTCTCCTCAACAGGAAGGGGTGTCTTGTATTTATGCTGCGCGCGCACTGGCACTAACTAGCACCGAGAAACTCACTCAAATCTCAGAGAGGGAATGTCCGGGCATATGCGATGTGGGTTTAAGTTTTAAGCTCAGGCTGGGTTCACTGACTACAAGGCGAGGAAATGCCTTGAAGAAACTGCTGACTCTACGGGAAGACTGGTGGTGGTGGCTGGCGGCTCGCGATCGGCACGCTCGCAGTCAGAGCTGTAGCTAAACTGAGTGGGCGAAGTGCCACAGCTCGCCGGACCCGAGAGGCTCGGGAACTGCTCAATTCCAGGAGAGAACGCACTGAGAGCGGCGGAGAGAGGAGCACCATTGAGACATGCTTTCTTGTACCATCGAAAATGGTATATACACGGCGATGAAAAAGCCCAAGTGCTACCGCTGGAGGCGCTGGGATAACTTTAATTTCCTAATTATATTCAATGCCAAATGACTATGGGTAAAGTTATTCATTTCGATCTTCATTTTGCGAGATATTTTTCTGTCACTGTATAAACAGATTCCAAACCCCTTAAATCTTGTAGACTTTATTAATAAACATGGAATGCATTCTTATCAGTAACACACCCGGTACTTTGAGTATGTTCGAGTATATTGAACTCTTGCAGATGCATTTGATAAGGTAATCACTTAATTCCCCAATAAGTGTGCCTTCAATTAGATATCTAAGTGGATCAGGATCCAAAATGAATGTTGGGCTGCTCATTCCGGGTATCACAAAGTCGGGACACCCTACACACAGGTCATGTTCTCTTCTTTATTATGATCGATTATGTATATGTACAGAGGAAATGCAAGGGACTCACATTCATATCTGAACTGAGGCAAACGGAATGTAAACAATGACCAGGCGTTGTGTAACAGATTGGAGTTCTTCGAGCGGTTTACAATTATGTATATCAAAATACAAGTAGATACAGTTTTGAGCAAGTTTTCAGTATACATCTCTCGTTCATAGTTCCCAGTTCCATTTCGTTTCCGAGACCTCAGCCAAAACATGTTTTGAGTGATTTCCCTGCGAGAGAGTTTCGGTTTGGTAAAGAAACAAACAGCGTACGCAGACAAGGAAAATAAACAGCGAGAAATCGGTGCAGGCTATGGAAAATCTTTTAAAATTAATAAATTAAAATAAAACTTTGATTGTTATTGCCTCACCTGTGACACCCCTGCTGCCCGATTCGAACTTGATCTTCCAAACTGAGGTGTTCTATAGAAATACCCACCTCTGTACCTGTACCTTTATTACTGTTCCGGATAAGGATGCCTTAAAGTATCGGATTTCTGCGGGATATTAAACCTTCAAGTCAAGCCAAGCCAGGCTAATAAATTCAGCACCACGATTTGCGTTTGAATAATTATTCAAATAGTTATTCCGTAATATTTGTATTTATTAAAGTTCAGTTACTTCTTTTTCTTATATTGTATGCGTCTGCATGTATACGTACGTAAACAAATTTCACTTTACTCCGGGGCAGTTGCTCATGTGCTCAGATTCCTTGTGGAACAAAGAGACTCGCCGAATTCTGCCCCTAACGATGATGTGTTTATGAATAGCATGCCATGAGTGTGAATGTAAATGTGAATCGTTTGGGTATGGGTATGGGTATGGGGTTGTAAAACTGCTTACAGACAATTACATCAAGTCGTAGTTAACGTTCTAAGTTTATATGTGTTTATTAAAAAGATAAACCATGTCTTTGAAATGGTACAATTTTTGATCAGAATATGTATGTGTGTATGTCGGTACTTCGACTGTATATTAATTACCGGGAAGGTGGTATCCCCGTTCCCAAATGTGGGCTTTACTTTAATTATTCAGTATTCAGTGAAAGTGAGCTGTAAACTACTTTAAAATGCCAATCGCCTACAATGTCCACCTCCTTGTCTTCTTCTTTCTATAGTAGGTTTTTCTTTTTATACTTTTATTTTTACAATATTTACACTAAGTGTTAAATTTATTATCTGCGAATGACAAATTTGATACCGTCCTCACAGTATCCTTCTGCTTTGCTTGAGATCTGATACAGAAGCTGATACTTGCCAAAATGTCACATCAATAATCAGATTAAATGTTTGGTTTTATTTTTTAAATTTACGGTTTACGCTTTACGGTTTACGGTTATTATTATGTAAAATTCAATGAAGAACAACTCTAAATATTATGGAAAGGGCTTCAACAGTCACACACTTCTGGAGGCTGCGTTTAAGAATTGATATTGATTCCGATAAGGCAACTGCCCTTCCAGTTTTTGTAATTTCAGAGAATGCTTTATGTAGACTGGGTTTGGTTTTATGTTTTTCTCTTGAATAAACTAAATAATTAGGTATTTATGTAGGTATGGTACTGGTAATGGTAGTGGTAATGGTAATGGTATCGTATGAATATCCTTTATTCTGCGTTGCATAAATACGTTAAATTCCGCAAAGTTGCTATTATGTTTTACAATTGAACGTACTGTCGTTAAATATTAAGTGTAAGTGTATCGTTTGCTGAGAACCAAACTACAACATTTAATATGCCGCATGCCTTTCGGGTATACATAGCAGACATCGCAATTCTTCTGTTTCTCATTGTTATAAATATATTAAAAAGTGGGCAGGTTCAACTTAAAGTATTCGCCTCACAAACGAGAGACATAAACCAACACGGGGATGGGGGAGAGATTTGAAATTATTGATTTTCGTAATCACTTAAACGCGTCCTTTGCGAGCGGCTGCATGGAAATGACGAAAACAAAAAAATAGAGAACAGGGAAATCAATATTTTTGAATTTGGGATAGCGAACTAACTCACTAATTTATTCATATTTTTGGAATATACTTCCGAATGACATGGTCAGTGTTTAGCCTAAAATTCGGAGCTTGCCAACTGACCTTTATCCTTGTTCTTGCGCTGCTCTTTGGCACTCTTATCCTTGGACTTGCCTGGCTTGCAGTTCTTCTTGATAACGCGCGTTGCTTCGCAGGAAGGATCACTGCTCGTCTTTAATTTGTCGGCCCGAGTCATCTGTCCAGTGGCGCACTCCGACCAGGAGCCCTTCTCATATCGGCAAGCTGTAAGACAAAGTTTTAAGTACTCCATGTAGAACGTAGAACCCTTGCCCGTTATTACCTTTTTTGCATTTCTTTTGAATAGTGCGTGTTTGGTCGCAGGCCGGATCACCCTTCTTTAGAGTCAAGGTTCGAGAACGAGTATTTGTTTTCGTATCGCATTCAGTCCACGGGTTCTTGCCATATCGGCAGGACAAACCTTTGGGAATGAGGAGCACCCAATGTAATTGTAGTCAGGCTTGGACAGTCTCCCCAAATCCTCGACACTCACCATCGCTCTTGGTGCCGCGCTCGTTCCTTATGAGGACTTCGTGATCGTCCTCCTCCCACACCTCTCCCTGAATTGCCGTAGTGGGCTGGGTCTGCTCTGCCACGGGGAGCGCAAGCGGAGTCTCTTGGCCCTCTGTGGTGCCCCAAGCCGTGCTGCACAACACCCCCGACCATGTCACAAACGTGGCCAGTAAAAGCGCGTTATAATTATGTCTCATGGTGTGACTTCTGTTGGGAAAAGAGAAGGCCTATACCTTAGCAAGGAAAAGATGGTAGATACACTCAACAGAATAGAAACTGAGAAAATGCGTTTCACTTAAAAATACTTATAACCAATATGTATCCTTAAATCAGAAGGAGAGACCCCTTCCGCTTTCCGTCTTCCGTCTCGTGTCTCGTATCCGTGAGAAAAAAGGCAACGCAATTGCCCTGCCCGTTTATTTTTATATAGAGCATATATTTGCACAAAAGCCAAGAATAAATTTGAAATATGACTTTGGGACACTGTTTGAAAATCAAGTTTGACACACAGTCTCTCCTTATAGTTTATAAAAACAATATTTTACTGGCACGGAACCGATCAAAATGGGGACCAACCGTTAGTTATACACACAAAACAACTCCAGACTCAGACACGGCGCAGAAAAGCTGTTGTCGTCGGACTGTATCAACTGCTCTCGGTGCAGGACTCTTCGAAACTGAACGGAAAGATATAAGGACATCAGCATAAAAGGCCACGGCATGTATAGTATCCTACAGGATTCTATGCTCCCTTCTCTCGCATCTCGACTGAGAGAGTGCGCAGCAGCGCCAGGACTTTTATCAATGAGCTGCGCATGTTCTACATATAAATATTTAACATTCTATTTTTATCCTGAATGCTGCGTTGCCTAGCTATCTCCTCTCCCTGTGCCCGTGTCTGTGCCTGCTCTTGTAGGTGGTAACAATCTAGGAAAAAATAAACACACTCCTCCGTCTCCAAGAATTTATCCCGAGTCGGATAAACCGAAGCATTTGCATACTTTTAAGGGAAGTTTTTGAGTCGAATCTCTTATTCCCACTGTTAAAGTCGCACGGCTTCTTCTCTCGCAGTATTCTGCTTAGTTGGATAATTGCAGGACAACACTCCCCTCTGCCAATTTTGGCCCTGAAGCCAGGTCTCTTGCTCAATTTAGTGACGCGACTCCATAATGGCGTAATGCCAGCCCCAGCCCCACCCAAAGTTACATGCAATTTGTGGTCGATGGGTGGAGTATCCGTCAATCCGCTGGCTGTAACCCTATACGCTTATTCTTTGCAGAATAAGCCATAATTATAAGGACTTGCCTGGACTGATTTGCCATTAACAATCCAATCAATCACCTGTTGTTACAAACAAAATCACATGCATGTCCCCGTCTTTGAATATAAGCTTTTTCCAACTCCAACTCTGGGTTGATGGGGGTCCTGCTCCATCAACAAGGACTGTAAAGCGTTACATTGTACGCCGTGCAATAAGGACAATGGGTACTCCGGCCTGCTTCATTTGTCGTAACAACCCACAACCTGGGGTCGGGTCAGTATGTAGGCGTTATTGAGTCCAATAGCTGTCATAAAATTTAATAATGCAAATGTAATTAAGTCACCTCACCTGACCTGAGCCTGAGCCCCACATGCTCGGGTTTGCTGTCGGTTTGACTGACTGCCTGTCGCTCTCTCCTGCAACCGCACCTTAAACAAGCAAATTGATGACGTAGCCTGCCAAGAGAAGGGGAAGGAAAGCCCTAACAATTATGTGGAATGGCTTGACATTGTTACCATAAAACATCTGCAGTTAAAGAATAACTAAATCATTCAGAACTAATTATTTGAGGCTTGTATGACTTCACAGATTGTTCTCCTTCTATTCACTTGACCTACATACAGACATATGTATATAGCCATAAACCTATATAAAAAGACACCATAACCGAAATAAAATAAAATACAAATATTGGATCATAAGATGCTAGATTTTACGGTATTTTTCGCACTTAATAAGCTTAGCTTAGCTATTTTCATGGGTTTTTACGTTCAGTGAAGACCGGCCACAGCCGTGTGAGTCATTAAACAGTCATCATCTGAATGCTTAGGCAAATCCACAGTTTACCGCGAGCTGCAGGCACAGCATATCGACGAATCTGGACCGCTTTAACTGAACGTGAATGTGAACGAACAAAGCCGGTGTTCGGTGCTCGGTGTTCCAGTCAGTTGAGCAACCCCATTCATACCGAATCGGAACAAAAGCTCCCGGTGACCCGGTGGAAAGTAGAAGTTATCATTGATTCTTTGGCCAGAGGCAGAGCCAGTGTTCTGTGCCCGTTTCCATGGCAACCCTTGGGGTTCAGGAACATGAAGCGAATTAGCATGCATCAGCGCTTAGGTCCCGTCCCCCCAGTGGTTATCAGTTGTTGGATAGCCGTTCGAGTCGGCAGCAAGTTTGGCTCCGTGCAAACAGAGGAATAGCCACAAGTGTATATAGCGCTTACCTATATACCACAAACATATATTCAAAATTCTTATCAAACTCCGCGCGATTAACAGCAGAAGCAAGAGCCGCTCCTTAACCTGACACAGCTAGAGCTATGGAGCAATCACTATAAGCTCTCGATCGATATATCACACAAGATGCTTTGGCTCTTGATCTGGGACATTCTGCTGTCCCTCACACTCACAGCTTCCATGCCAGTGATTGACACCGGCTCGGCCTGCAAGGCTATGGCCACCTGTGATCCATTTCTGCCCATCTGCGCGACAGCCACCAACGAGCACCAGTTCTTCTACAGCCACTGTGAGATGTTGCGGGATATTTGCCTCACTGGAAAGGGTGAGTCATGTGCCACCAAGTATAGCCGCAATCGCTAAACAATACAACCATTTGCTTATTGTACAACAGATTGGAAATCGGACTACCTGAGCCATTGCAATGTCCACAAACTGTAACCATTCTGTCTCAGAGTGACTGAGGACAAGGCTTGCACATAGACTGAGACTGAGCAAAGTAAACGAATATTTGCCATTAGATTTTGGTATATACAAACATTTATAATAAAACGGTTTTTGAGTCTTAAATGTATTCAATGAGCGGGGTCTATTGACTACTTTTGACCAAATCGGACAGTTTTTGGCGTCTGAACTCTTTTCTTGCCTCGTCGAGCAGCACATTGTGCAGCAGATTCCGGTTCTGTGAGTGATCAGTGTCCAGCGTGGGGTACGGATTGCCCCTGAGCTCCAGCACAGACTGTCTGTAGTATGTGCCGGGATAATCTCGGGGCGCCTTATACATGCGAGTGTAGGACAAATTGTGGTTCTCATAGCGCGGCACTAGCACCTTGAAGAGCTTGTGCACCAGCTGCTTCTCCAGAAGCCAATAATCAGCCAGTTCCATGGTGGCCTTGTGCCGGTCCCCGTACCGTATGGCATTCGAGATGAGCTGCAGGAAGACACAAGCAGGAGGAATGAGAATCAGGGCGAAAATCGTCGTAAGTGGGCTTGGGCTTACCAGCTCGGCGTATCCACGAGCCTCGTCCGCGCGATTGTAGAAGAGTTCAATGCGCTCGTGCTTCATCAGCGCCGTGACGGTCTTGCGCAGCTTCAGCAGACGTCCCTCCGGGCCGTCCGGGTTCTTTAGATTACGCTTATTCGGCCGGACAGCGATACGCAGCTGCGACATTAGTTTGGTTACATCGGCTTGATTCATTTTCACCGAATTTGTGTAATTTTTACAAAACAAGAAATCACGTAATGAGCCGGCGAACAGCTGTTGGCCGTCATTCGATTGCTCCGATACCGATACACTCAATATATCGATGGCCCAGTAACAAGAACAAAAATACGAAAATTGTTGATTTGTTTATTACTAAAAATAAAATCTACCTAAGCTAGGTGCTGCAGAATACCCTGTCGCACTAGGGACTCCACCTGTGCCCGCGGCAAGTAGTGCTGGCTGTTCTTCTTAAGGTGTATCACCTCTCCGTCCTCCAGCTCGAATTTTCCGTAGTCCTCCATGCAGCGGACCTCTATGTACAGGGACTTGGGAGGACGCAGGTGGTTGGTCAGATCAAGGCCCTGTCCTTGGCTGTAGCCGGCGCTGCACATATACGCCGCCAATGACTTGGAGTAGTTGTTGAAGAACTGCACCTCCGGCTCGCACAGGGCCTGCTTGATGTCCGCGGGAATAATGGGGCCGAACTCCCAGCGCAAGGCCTTGATACGCTTGGAGCGCTCGTAGAGGTAGGCCAGCAGACACCGCTTGTTCCGCTGCAGAGCCGCGTGCCGGTAGTTCAGCAGTGGCCAAAGACTCCGATCCCCCGAGGCGTTGTAAGTGGAGGCCTGCGCCACGTTCTCCTCGAATATGGCCTTGATCTCCTCGAGCACCTGGCGCACGCCGTCGTCGTCGAAGGCGGGGATGGTTTGCGAAGATCTCTCCAGCTCCTTTAACAACTCGAAGGCTTTGTCGCCGAACAATTTGTTTGGCCGGGTCATTGTTGATGTTTGTTGCTGTTAGCGATGGTGCGATTCGAACGATGACGCGCTTAAACACGCAACTATCGCGGTCTTTGCAGTAAACAAAAATCTGTTACTGTGCCGCGAGGGTTGGTGGTCACTCCGAGTTTCCCAGAGTTTTCCCGAGTTCCCTAGACGAGCGCGGAAAAACAAGCATTTCCCTCGAAAGTGTGGCAACGTCAATAGCCCTGATTTAAGTGTAACCAGGTACTGAGAAGGGAAATATCTGTTTATCGACCTATTCCCGACATCGATTCTCGATTGTCCCACAGTATCATCGGTGTACTCGCAGCTCTAGCTTCTGGTCAAAAAATCTTCTGCTGAAAAAACTTAATTAGGTTGGAACGGTGTGGAGCCCGAAATCAACGCAAACAAATTTGCTATTGAAGCCTAGTACAACGGCCCTCTGCTAGTAACCTCACCCGCATTCGAACGAGAAAATGGCAACCGCAAACAGCGCGACAGCTGCCGGAGCAGCGAAAGACGGGGCGCCGCCAGCCCCAGCCAAGTCGTTATCCGGCATTGTGAAGCAAGTGAGTACTTTGTGGTCAGGAACTCGGTGGGGCCAATGGGGCAGCGGGCCCCTTGGACATTGGAAAGTGAAATGTATTATCTTTCATCAGCGTGGCAAACGCGGCGGCCTGTCAGGCAGCCGAGTGCAACTCTGACAAGTGCGAAAGAGACGCGCGTATAGACTCGGTGCGTGTGTGTGACACGTTGCACACGCTCGTCCGAAGAAATGAAAGTTATCGAAGGTGCCAAGCTGGCAGATTTTCTTCGGCGCGGCACGGTGTCTTGGCCTGTGTTGTTCGGACTTGGGCCTGGGGGAGGGGGGCGTTGGGCCGAGTGCCCCTGGCACGTCATCAGGATTATGCGCCGGCATTTCGTCATTCCTTTTCCTGCCTTTAACTCATTAGTAGGCGTGACGAGAATTTGCTAGTGTGCCGAACGGCGTTCGTCTCTAACCTCATCGCCACAGACGCCCTCCGAAAGGCATCTTCAGGGCCCTTGCTCGTATTTATGAATGCAATTTGTTTGGGGCAACCGCAATTCTATATCACATTCGAGCCCTGTGCATTTTTGTTGCCCTCTGACCGGGTTCAGTCGCCATTTTCAGTCAGCTCGGTGGACTTTTGTCCGAAGCGGTTCGGCCGTGATAACAATTATCAATTGCCGGAAAATGACAGCCAAGTCTTGGCAGAATCCGGCTTGCTGACGTTGGCAGCCTGGAAACAAACTCTCGGCCAAAGATTCGGACTGCCATGGCTTTGGCGCCTCCCTCAAAAAACCTGTTGATCTTCAGTAGGTACAAGCCGACGCCCTACACCTGCGTCTCAATTGTTCTGCTGCTGGTGGAATTGTAGCATAAATAGTGCATTATTTACATATCCCCGCGCCCCGCACTGTTATACATATTGAAATCCCAGCAGATTGCCCACGTACGCTCGTAGGTATTGCTGCCTGGGGCAGATCCCTAAACCGGTTTGGATGTAGGCCTTTTTGAGCATGGCCGCATATCTACCAAATTCCATTTGTCTATCTGAACAAATCGGATGACCGGCTACATATCTATGCATCCCGTTCCTATGCGTCAATGTAGCGCAGGCGCTATCCAAAACTATCTGGTGAAGCCAGCACGTGTCTTAATTTATTTATTAACAATGCTGGGAGGCATTCTTGTTTATCTATTTTTTTATTTATAATTGTAACGTAAAATCTTGAAATACATTTTAATGAGTTTAGAAATCGATAGTGCTTTTCGATAGTATCCATCGGTATTCTGCCATCTCTAGCCAGTCCGCACGTGCATTGTCTTTTAACCTCACTCTACCAGAAGATTGATAACCTCCCGCACCTTGCAGGTCCTCTCCGGCGACACGGTAGTAATCCGCGCAACCAAGGGTGCCCCGCCTCCGGAGAAACAAATTACCTTCTCCCATGTTCTGGCCCCCAAGTTGGCCCGCCGCCCCGGCGCTGGCGGTGACGAGACCAAGGACGAGCCCTGGGCCTGGGAGTCGCGTGAGTTCCTGCGCAAGAAGCTGATCGGCGTTGAAGTGACCTTCACGTTCGACAAGCCCGCCAACTCGAACCGGGAGTACGGCTTCGTATGGATCGGCAAGGACAAGGAGTCTGGCGAGAATGTGGTCGAGTCGATTGTGCGCGAGGGTTTGGTGTCGGTGCGCCGCGAGGGTCGCCCGACAGCGGAACAGCAAACCTTGATCGAGCTGGAGGACCAGGCACGTGCTGCTGGCCGCGGCAAGTGGGCATCCAACACGAGTCCCGCCGAAAAGGTTCGCAACATCAAGTGGGCTCACGAGAATCCTGCCCATCTGGTGGACATCTACGGAGGAAAGCCCGTTAAGGCCATCATCGAGCACGTGCGCGATGGCTCCACCGTCCGTGCATTCCTGTTGCCCGACTTCCACTACATCACGTTGATGATTTCGGGCATTCGGTGTCCGGGCGTCAAGTTGGATGCTGACGGCAAGCCCGACCTTAGTGTGAAGGTGCCTTTCGCTGACGAGGCCCGGTACTATGTGGAGACTCGCCTGCTGCAACGCGATGTGGAAATCCGGCTGGAATCGGTAAACAACTCCAACTTCATTGGGTCGATTTTGTACCCGAAGGGCAACATTGCGGAGTCTCTTCTGCGCGAGGGCCTTGCCAAGTGTGTGGACTGGTCCATGGCAGTGATGAAGACTGGTGAGTTTGACCTGTAGTGTTAGCCAAGTTAATAACCCCCGCAGCTCGTTTGCACAGCACAGCACCGAATTGGTTAATGACCTTTTGTTGTGCTGTTCACTGTTTGCAATCGGTTGCCAAATTAAAGACGGACTCCAAGAATGTTGCGACATTTATTAATGGTTGCTGTGTTCATTTCACCCCGTCGACATTGCCTGCTCCACAATTGAGCATTTATTAATGCCTTTAAACTATGCTAATACATTAATTTTCTGGGTCACTTTGCAGGCGCCGATAAACTGCGTGCTGCTGAGCGCATTGCCAAGGAGAAACGCATCCGCCAATGGCAAGACTATCAGGCCAAAACACCAGCCTTCAACTCGAAGGAGAAGGACTTTGCAGGCACAGTAGTCGAGGTCTTCAATGGCGATGCAGTCAACGTGCGACTGTCGAACGGCCAGGTGAAGAAGGTCTTCTTTTCGTCCATAAGGCCACCACGTGACCAGCGGGCGGTGGTTGGAACCGATGGCGAGGAGATAGTCAAGGCTCCTCCTCGCGGCAAGAACTACCGGCCACTCTACGAGATTCCCCACATGTTCGATGCCCGCGAATTTCTGCGCAAGAAGCTTATCAACAAGAAGGTTCAGTGCAATCTGGATTACATTTCACCGCCCCGCGAGAACTTCCCTGAGAAGTACTGCTACACCGTGCTGATCGGGGGTCAGAATGTGGCCGAGGCCATGGTGGCCAAGGGCTTGGCAACGTGTGTGCGCTACCGCCAGGACGACGATCAGAGATCTTCCGCCTATGATCAACTCATTGCTGCCGAACAGCAAGCCATTAAGGGGCTGAAGGGCTTGCACGCAAAGAAGGACAATGCCACGCTGCGCGTTAACGATCTGACTGTTGACCATTCCCGTATCAAGGTCCAATACTTGCCCTCATGGCAGCGGGCCCTGCGCTCTGAGGCCATCGTTGAGTTCGTAGCCAGCGGGTCGCGCCTCCGTCTGTTTGTGCCAAAGGACAGCTGCCTGGTAACATTCCTTTTGGCTGGCATTTCGTGTCCGCGCTCTTCCCGCCCGGCGCTGAATGGAGTACCTGCCCAGGAAGGAGAACCCTTTGGCGACGAGGCTCTGACCTTTACGCGGGAACGTGTCCTGCAACGCGACGTCTCCGTGCATATCGATACCACCGACAAGGCTGGATCTTCGGTGATTGGTTGGCTATGGACGGACACCGGTGCCAATCTGTCGGTGGCCCTTGTGGAGGAGGGTTTGGCGGAGGTCCACTTCAGTGCCGAGAAATCCGAGTACTTCCGCGTACTGAAGAGTGCCGAGGACCGTGCCAAGGCCGCCAAGAAGAACATCTGGGCCAACTATGTGGAGCAAGTGCCTGAGGAGAAGGCAGTCGTTGAGGAGGAGAAGGAGGACAAGGTGGTAGCGGAGCGCAAAGTCAACTACGAGAACGTGATTGTCACTGAGATTACCGAAACTCTAACATTCTTTGCGCAGTCGGTGGAGAGCGGATCCAAGCTCGAAACTCTGATGAGCAAGCTCCATGCCGACTTCCAGTCCAACCCTCCCATCGCTGGATCGTACACGGCCAAGCGCGGCGACCTTGTGGCCGCCCAGTTCACTCTGGATAATCAATGGTACCGCGCCAAGGTGGAGCGAGTCCAGGGCAGCAACGCCACCGTCCTGTACATCGATTATGGCAACAAGGAGGTGAGTGTAGATGAGAGATTTAGACGTAGTAGTTTCCGCAAGCTCCTTAGATCCGTTTCCGGCTTGAAGCGAAACGCATGAGTCATAAGCTTGCTATACCAAAAATATGCTTTTCCTGTGACTGTCATGTGGAGCCTGAGGGCGTAGCCCAAACCCTTCAGCTGCAACAAATGTGTTCTGTTTCCAAACTGTTTGGTATTGCCTTCGAACGTACCGAGGAGGCCCCATATTTTTTGGGGCAGCCAACGTCAATAGAAGTAGCTTTGCCTGCGTGTGAGGAGAGAGCGCAGAGTAGCTGGGGGCGTCCAAACCAAGCTTCCACGAATGTCCTCGAGTAGCAACACACCCACACAAACATAGTTTTCTGATCCAATACAGGGATATAGTCTAATATAACCTCTTTGTCTTTTAGACTCTGCCCACCAGCCGCTTGGCCGCCTTGCCCCCAGCCTTCAGCAGCGAGAAACCGTACGCCACCGAGTACGCGCTGGCCTTAGTCGCCCTGCCCACGGACAACGAAGACAAGGAGGAGGCTCTGCGTGCCTTCTCCGAGGACGTCTTGAACCACAAGGTTCAGCTCAACGTGGAGTTGAAGGTGCACGGGGCACCCCACCTGGCCACGCTACATGATCCAACCACCAAGGTGGACTTTGGAAAGCAGCTTGTCGCCGAGGGCCTGGTGTTGGCCGAAAAGCGTCGCGAGCGCAAGCTCAAGGAGCTTGTGGACCAGTACAGAGCCGCGCAGGAGGCAGCACTGGCGGCGCATCTGGCCATCTGGAAGTACGGCGACATTACACAGGACGATGCGCCCGAGTTCCGCTAAAAGATGGCTATACATAGGAGTAGGCCTGTGGCGTGGAGCGCGTTGCTAGCCGAAATGTTTGTCTGCCACATACCCGCCCTTTATATACATAACAAGAAGCAACAACTTAAAGAATATGAAATTACTAATTCTATCTATACACACACCAATATATATGATGCATATACCACATTGGAGAACATACATACATCTGAGCAATGGCATGGAAGATCAGAGGATCGCAGTGCAGTACACTTTGTATGCTTTAAGCAGCTCGCGAATTATCACCAACTACTTGGGTTATATTTTTTTCAATAATGATCATGATCCTTTAAATAAATATTTGACACAACCTAGCAGCAATTCGACCTTTTAAAAGCTCCCCCGACCTCCCCACAAACAATAATTATAACGGATCCGGATGCGGATGCATGAGAAAAATGTGTAAACCTCAAAATGTCTCTTAAATTTGCAGATTTATGTTATTGTAAACTGTTTTTGCATTAATGAGTAAATACAATTAAATAATTTTTTATAAAACCAAGTACGTGAAATTCATTAACATTCTCAATTTATGAAAATAGTTTAAACACGAGCATTTCTGGGTGTCAAAGTGCTCAATGTTTAAACTGCTTTTCAAATCTAGTTTTACCCGCCAGCAATAACGATGGCCAACTATCGATGACAGTGCAATCGGTAGAACGCCCAATCGGGGAAAGCCGGCTACAATTAATGTGTGAAAAATAAAACAACCAATTGCGAATAATTACACAAAAGAAAGCACTCAGAAGTAGGAGAAGGAATTCTGCTTTCTAGAACCTTAAACAACCAACCTTATTTTCCCCTCATCGATTGCTAGCTATCGATATCAGCGAAATGCGTCCTTGCGCCCGAGACTGTTATCAGAATTTTCGCTAGGCACATCATAAAATCGATTTGTACTGCCTACTTTTCTTTGTTTACTTTCCCTGTGCAAATTCGTAATATTCGTAATTTAAAAAAGCAATTACTAGGCTTCGGGTCGGAGCACTGGGACTGCGGCAGCTGCAGGTGTATTGGTTTGCGTCGGCAAAATGTGAATTAACATGAGTGGCGCATCGATCGATTTTTGAGAGCGAAGTGGGAAAGTAGCGGTGTCTCAGCTCGGCTGTGTGTGTGAGTGTGTGTGTACTGCGCCCCAACTAAAAGTTCAACGCCTATAAGGGAAGAGGAAAAATCTAATTGAAAAGCCACTTCCAACTCTGCGGCCATGGAGCATCCTTCCTCGTTGCCCGGCTACATTCGTGAGAAGCTCGCCGAATTGGATTTGGAGCTGTCGGAAGGTATACCCATTTTCCGTGTTTCTGCATGCTCTGAAAATAATTGTGTAAAATTGAATTCCCTAAGTTCAGAGAAGATATATGGCATTAATCTTACAAATTGAATTGCTTGATCTATTATTAATGTGTATGTGCACATAGATACAAGTTCTGAGATACTTCTGCCCATTGAAGTTCTCTTCCTAGCTTTTCTTTTGCACACAGACACACACCAATTAAAAGAAAAGTGTGGGGGAAGTGCGTTTAATTGTGTATTTAATTTCTAACAACAAACTCCGCCGCTGCTGGATTCACTTACTAAAAGAAAAAAGCGATGCTGAAAAACCAACTTTATCTTTATTTTAGGCGACATTACGCAAAAGGGCTATGAAAAGAAGCGTGCGAAGCTCCTGCAGCCGTTCCTGAAAAAGCATGAAGGTATGTGAGCTTTACTTACATACATATTTCTTTTTCCGAGTGTTCATTTTGCTGCCCACTTCCACCAACAGTCGAGAAGGCAAAGAGTACGCCGCCACCGCCATATTACAACGTTAAGGATGCCAACAACAGCAACAGCCACGGCCACGGCAACATCAACAATGACGGAGTTGTGGTTTCCAGCGAGGGCTACAGCTATGTGACCGAAGTACCGTCTCTATCCTCCTCACAGCAAAGACATTCCAAAAAGATTGACCATCACCAGTCATCCTCCGTTAACTCTTCATCGACAACGGCGCAGGGCGGAAATGTCGGTACTCCCGGCTATGAAAACATGCGCCCACAAGGCGGTGCCGTTGGCGATCCCGGATATCAAAACACTCGCGAGCCCAGTGGTTTTCAAAATCAAACAAATAATAGTCAGCATCGACAACGACGCACACAGCGGAAAGTAACGCACAATGAGAAACGCTATCACTCGGGTAATTAGGAGTAATCCATTGGCCGATGATCTTTTACTGAAATTTCCCTTTCCCTTCCCTTGGCAGAGGTACGACAGGAGGCTGTACAGCAGGCCCTTGCAGCTCTCAAGGGTCGCCCAAAGCCCAGTTTACCCATGCCTTCGAAGCGCACATCTGTCCTCAACCGAAGCCCCGGCTGCAATGATGAGCTGGACTCATCGACGGATGACGAGTCCATACCCGAGGAGACCATTTCACCCGACAAGGAGTACAACTACCCACGCGACCATATAAGCAACAGCATTCTTCCGCCCGAGCCTATTATCAAGCCACCAGTGCGTGAATCATCGATGAGCTCACAGCAGCATACGAGGCTCGAGGCAAAGCAGGCCCAAGCCCCAAGTCAGAAGTACACATCATCATCGAATAGTGGGCCAGAGAGGCGGCCACCGCAGAACTTGCCGCCAATTGTGAGTGCCTCTATTTTTAGTTATTACAAAAATTAGCAATGCAAGCAGAATTCACGATATATCTATGGTTTATAGCTGAATTCTAGATTCTATTTAATATAATTTATATACATCTTTTTTTGTGCAGCCTACATCAGACACCTCGAGCACAGACTCGCCTCCCATTGCTTACAAGCGAGAGACTGACTTTTCTGACAAAGCATTCAAGCAAAAGCACTGTAAGTAATTGAGAGTACAATACGCAAATGGAGTTGATTAGCAATGTTTTGTACTTGTGACTGTGCAAAGTGCAGAGAGGGTTCTCGCACAATCAACTGTATTTAACTGCAGCATAGCTTTGAATGTGTTCAAGTGTAATGCATTAATTGTTCTTATTTTTTCAGACAACGCTCCTGACATAACACAGTTCAACAACGCCCATCGTGCCGCCGACCGGGTCACACGATATGTGAACGTATCTCAAAACGAACTGAGCGAAACGGATGCCAATGGAAAGTGGAAAGTATCTGCAAAAATCCAACAGCTTCTGAACACTTTAAAGCGACCAAAGCGAAGACCTCTGCCCGAGTTCTACGAAGACAACGATATTGAGCTTGAGATTGCTGCCAACACCAAGGACCCCAACGCCCCAAAACCGGAGGGCAGCACCATGACACCCGTGCAGGGCGAGCAACTGGCAATACCGGCGGGACTGCCGCGGTCACTGGAATGCGCTTTACAACGCTATGGAACAAATTCCTTTAAAAGTCCAATGGCCACTGTCCTGGATCCCAATGGCAAAATAACAACCACCTTGACCTATGGCAAGCTGCTGTCGCGAGCACAAAAGATTGCATACGCTTTGTCCACGAAAATATTCAGCAAGGGTCCCGAGCAAGTGACCCTCAAGCCGGGTGATCGAGTGGCTTTGGTTTATCCCAATAATGATCCCTTGAGGTGGGTAAATTAACCGCGTGTTTCTAGTGGAGCAAAAAACTAAACCCGAATCGTTTTTTAGTTTTATTACAGCCTGGTACGGTTGCATGTTTCGGGGCTTGGTGCCCCTGCCCATTGAGCTGCCGCTTTCCAGCTCGGATACACCGCCCCAGCAGGTGGGATTCTTGCTAAGCTCCTGCGGCATAACCGTGGCCCTAACCTCAGAGGCGTGCCTAAAAGGTCTTCCAAAATCCACGACAACCGGGGAAATAGCTAAATTAAAGGGTTGGCCGCGACTGCAATGGTTTGTAACTGAGCACTTGCCCAAGCCGCCCAAGGAATTTAATGTGGGCAACTTACGGGTGGATGACTCGGCCGCAGCCTACATAGAATACACGACTGACAAGGAGGGCAGTGTGATGGGTAGGTGAACAAAATGCGTATGCCTTTTTAGAGATTTACAAATGATTCTCTTTATTTTCCAGGTGTCACTGTCACCCGCGTGTCCATGATCAACCATTGCCGTGCTCTGACCATGGCCTGCCACTACACCGAGGGCGAGACCATTGTCTGTGTTTTGGATTTCAAGCGTGAAGTGGGACTCTGGCATGCGGTTTTGACCTCAGTTCTGAACGGCATGCACGTCATTTTCATACCCTATGCTTTGATGAAGCTGCGCCCCTCCAGCTGGATGCAGTTGATAACCAAGCACCGGGCTTCCTGCTGCCTGGTCAAGAGTCGTGACCTGCATTGGGGCCTGCTGGCCACGAAGGACCACAAGGATATCTCGCTCTCATCACTGCGCATGCTATTGGTGGCCGATGGGGCCAACCCCTGGTCGCTGTCATCTTGTGACCAGTTCCTGAGTGTTTTCCAGGCCAAGGGGTTACGATCGGATGCAATTTGTCCCTGCGCCAGCAGCTCTGAGGTGTTTACAGTTTCCCTTCGTCGGCCTGGTCGCGGATCCTGTGGCTTCAGCCCGTCCGCCACGGGACGCGGTGTGCTGTCCATGGCAGCGCTCTCTCACGGTGTAGTGAGGGTGGACAGTGAGGACTCCCTCACGTCCCTCACGCTGCAGGACTGCGGCCAGGTTATGCCTGCGGCACAAATGGTGGTCGTGCGGTCCGAGGGAGCTCCAGTGCTCTGTAAGACCGATCAGGTGGGCGAAATATGCGTTACCAGTGGCTCCACGAGCGCCAGCTACTTTGGCCTCGATGGCATGACGAATTCCACCTTCAAAGTTCAGCCTTTGATTGAGGAATTCGAACCGCCGAAGGATGGCAATGGAACGGTGAATGTAATTTCGAAACCGATTGGCGAAGAGTTTTACGTGCGGTCGGGACTGCTTGGATTTCTGGGTCCCGGTGGCCTGGTCTTTGTGTGTGGCTCCCGCGATGGCCTCATGACGGTTACGGGTCGAAAGCATAATGCGGACGACATCATAGCCACAGTATTAGCGGTGGAGCCGATGCGCTTTATTTACCGCGGACGGATAGCCGTGTTCAGCATCAAGGTGCTACGCGACGAACGCGTGTGTGTTATCGCAGAGCAGCGACCCGATTGCTCCGAGGAGGAGAGTTTCCAGTGGATGTCGCGCGTCCTTCAGGCCGTGGATTCCATTCACCAAGTTGGCATCTATTGTCTGGCTTTAGTGCCACCCAATCATTTGCCCAAGACCCCACTGGGGGGCATACACTTGTGTGAGGCGAGGCGCAGATTCCTGGAGGGATCCCTGCACCCAGCCAATGTGCTGATGTGTCCCCACACATGTGTCACAAATCTGCCAAAGCCACGGGAGTTGCATCAAGGTGAGTGTTTTAGTGTTTCTGCATTTTCACTGAATTCTGTGTTCTGTTTTAATAATTGGCTCTGTTGGACTCTCTCTATGCTTTTCGCTACCTTATTAAAATACAAATATTGCTTTCCTCTATTTTTAACCACCAACCAACAACACTACAACAATGCTGCGATTACTTCTCTGACCACAAATCCACACACTCACCGCAAATACAAATAAATAACGACACTGTATGATATCGACAAAACACAATGCCAACATGACTAATAATCGCTTCAATTAATCATTTTCGTAATGAATTCCCTGTAAAAATCAACAAATCATTCAACTACTACCAACTAACCATTCCCAAAAACCAAAAAAGGTGTGCAAACTGCCGCAAAATTAAGCTCATCATCTGGATGTGGTATTACAGACACGGGTGTAGGACCAGCCTCCGTGATGGTTGGCAATTTAGTGCAGGGTAATCGTCTGGCCGAGGCCCACGGACGAGATGTTGGACTGGCCGAGGATTGTGAGCGTAAGGTTGGTAATATCCCCTATACATACCGAGAGAGAGTCGGCCTTTTAAACTTTCAACTCCCTTGAAACACAGCCACAACTCATAACGGGCGTACTGCGTTGGCGTGCAAACACTTCTCCGGATCACATAATATTCACACTGCTAAATTCCAAGGGTAAGCTTAGGTTTTCCCCAGTAAATATGTTACTAATTCGGGTCTTTGCCAGGTGCCATTGCCAAGACTCTAACATGCTCCGAGCTGCATAAGCGGGCCGAGAAGATAGCAGCGCTTTTGCAGGAAAGAGGAAGGATTGAGGCAGGCGATCATGTTGGTAAGAAATACCCATATGCTCGAAATACCCATATGTTAATTGAAAACCCAAAAACTCTTATTTTTCAGCGCTCATCTTTCCACCAGGACTGGACTTGTTGTGTGCTTTCTATGGCTGCCTTTATTTGGGTGCAATACCAATTACCATTAGACCGCCGCATCCACAAAATTTGAATACTACTTTACCCACTGTTCGCATGATTGTGGATGTCTCCAAGAGCGGCATTGTGCTCTCCATACAACCGATTATTAAGCTGCTGAAATCGCGAGAGGCGGCCACTTCGATTGACCCAAAGACATGGCCACCCATTTTGGATATAGATGACAATCCAAAGCGCAAATATGCCGGCATTGCCACGGTCTCCTTTGACTCGAGCGCCTATTTGGACTTTAGTGTGTCAACCTGTGGACGTCTCAGTGGAGTCAACATAACGCATCGGTAAGTAGAACTAAAAAAAACAAGGGTTTTTTAGCTTATATGCATTTCCTCCCTATCCCGCAGATCTCTCTCTAGTCTTTGCGCCAGTTTGAAGCTGGCCTGTGAGCTGTATCCCTCTCGCCACGTTGCGTTATGCTTGGATCCGTATTGTGGTCTTGGGTTTGTGATGTGGACTCTCATTGGCGTTTACAGCGGCCACCACTCCATACTTATTGCGCCCTACGAAGTGGAGGCCAATCCCAGCCTTTGGCTGTCCACGCTCTCGCAGCATCGTGTTCGTGACACCTTCTGCTCGTACGGCGTCATTGAGCTCTGCACCAAGGCGCTAAGCAACTCCATACCCTCGCTAAAGCAGCGAAACATTGACCTGCGCTGCGTGCGAACGTGTGTTGTGGTGGCGGAAGAGCGCCCCCGAGTCCAACTGACTCAGCAGTTCTGTAAGCTCTTCCAGGCTTTAGGGCTGAACACCCGCTGTGTCTCCACTTCGTTTGGATGTCGGGTGAATCCAGCCATTTGTGTGCAGGGAGCCAGCTCAGCGGAGAGTGCCCAGGTGTATGTGGATATGAGGGCCCTGCGAAACAATCGTGTGGCGCTGGTGGAGCGTGGTGCGCCAAATTCACTGTGCGTCATCGAGTCGGGTAAACTGTTGCCGGGCGTAAAGGTCATCATTGCTAATCCCGACACTAAGGGTCACTGTGGAGACTCGCATTTGGGTGAAATTTGGGTAATCAAATTTGGATTCATAATTTTTAAGATTTACATAATATATTTTACATTTTCTCTTAGGTTCAAGCACCGCACAATGCCAACGGTTACTTTACAATTTACGGAGATGAAACCGACTACAATGACCACTTCAATGCCAAGCTAGTGACCGGGGCCACTTCAGAGCTATATGCACGCACCGGCTACTTGGGTTTCTTGCGACGCACCGAATGCTCGCAAGCAGCCTCGTTGCTGGACGAGACCACACCGAGTGTGGCTAGCCGCGACAGTGATACCGAGTCCCTGAATTCCATCAGCCAGCTGCAATTGAACTTCTCGAATGCTTCCTTGGGCGGAAACTCGGAGCAGAGCCTCATAGGCGGTGCTGGCAATCCGAATGATCAGGAACTGCACGATGCTGTGTACGTGGTGGGAGCAGTTGATGAGGTGATCTCGTTACGCGGAATGAACTATCATCCAATTGATATTGAAAATTCCGTAATGCGCTGTCACAAAAAAATTGCCGAGTGGTAAGAATTGGATTTAGTTTGCATTTGTTGGCATAATGAATAATATTTTAAACCTTTTACTTTTTGCAGCGCCGTTTTCACCTGGACGAACTTGTTAGTGGTGGTCGTCGAGTTGGATGGCAATGAGTCGGAAGCTTTGGACTTGGTTCCCTTGGTCACAAACACAGTATTAGAGGATCATCAGCTGATTGTAGGCGTTGTGGTCGTTGTTGATCCAGGTTTGTATTGTTATGGGATCAGGTGTTATGTGTTTTTTAAAACAATTTCTCTTTTCAGGTGTGGTGCCTATTAATAGTCGTGGCGAAAAGCAACGGATGCATTTACGGGACGGCTTTCTGGCCGACCAATTGGATCCCATATACGTAGCCTATAACATGTAAATACACAAATATTCTTATGAAGGGAAAACGCAAGCATCCCCCCGTTCTCTCCCTATCATGTTTAAACCATAACACTAACATTCGCAATCCACTAACACAATATACAAGAAGGCTCATATTTCAGTTCGGATTGTCCAAATAATTGCACATTTCCTCTAAGAATATTAGCATAGTAGCATAGATGGTAAACAATTCTTACAATAAATTGACTATTTAACTTTATATGACCATATAAGACAGCAAACATTTAATATTTATTTATAAATAAACGATTTGTATGCAATATTGATGTGTTTATACAATTAGGAATACGTTAAGGTTTCTTGATCTTATCATTAAAATTCCTTATTCATCTACATCCTTCTTGGGGGTCTTAGAACTATGTAGGATTATTGTTTTTACTGAGCGATTGCAATTCGGTGCCGCCAATTTCATGCGAACCCCGGTCATACCACCACCGTAGGATAATGGTGCGGCGCCGGCGTACAACAAGGAAAATAAGCAATACCCAAACTCCTTGGAGGCCATTCACCATGTCGCAAAGCAGCAGGTAATTCGATTTGGAGCCTGAGTAGAAGGTGACTATTTCGAGAAGCCAACTTATGACCATTATTATGCCCAGGAGACTGACGCATTTGGCGCTGTTGTGCAGGGTAAAAGTTATTTAAATTTGGAAAACGAAAAAAGAAAAGAAGAAAACTTACTCCTTTTTAACGTCTTCGTATTTCTGCTGATCAAACCTCTCATTGTTGCGGCAAAGATCAGTTCCTTCAGCCTTGACATATCCGTTAATGCGTTGGAAACCAAAGAATGATATGATATTGATCTAAAGAACATAACGCTAAGCTGTTAAAGTTGACGCTCTTACTCAAGATAAACTTACCAGGAAACTTAAAAACAAAACGGTGGACACTGGAGGTATGAAGTAACGCTGTGAGTCACGTATAGACTCCGTGAGACCCTGCAGGAAGTATGAGGGCATTCCTGGCAGTCCCTTTTGGACCGTCATGGCCACTATGGTAGCCGGCCCGGTAAAAGCCAAAATACAATAGCAAGCAAAGTTGAAGGCTGCCCAGAACTTGGTCAGCTGTATGCAACAGGGCAACTTGTACCACACATTCAGGAGAACGTTGAAGCATATGCAGAAATACCAAAAGAAGTAGCCCAAAATGAAGAACTGTATGACATAGCCAATGAATCCAGTGTTCGATATTCCATAGATGTGCACCACGGAGTGCACAAAGTAACCCGATGCCAGGCACAAGGACATCAGACTCAGCGAAAGGCCATGCAGATTCCGCAGAAGACGAAGTGTCATGTGCAAGTAGCTGACTAGCAACAGACAGGGCATCGAGATGAGCATTAAAACGGCCACGAAAATTACCTTTGAGGAACTTCAGGGGTAAGTCTTGGTGTACGTAATTAAGCTAAATTGTGCTGCTCACCTTGGCGAAGGCAATTTGCTCTTCCACCTGTGTCACGCAAGTGAAGGCAAACAAATTCCCCGACTTGTCCACATCCAGGCAGTAGTTCTGTTCGACTGTATAGGACTCGTTGCCGAACTTGTCAATGATTAACAAGGACCCATCCTGCAGCACGAAGAATGCATCCTCTTGATCGTCATATTGAAGCGAGCTAAACTTGAAGACAAATTTATTTAATTCTCGATTTGGATAATTTGGATTTGTATTTACCTGTTGCAGGGATTACCAATCTCATAGGATAAAGCAGTTGGAATTTCCAGATCCTCAATGCAGTTATCAAAGAGCACGGCAGTTATTATCGTCGGTTCAAAGTTTACCACGGCGCTGTCGCACATTGAATCGCTTTGGTTCTCACGATATATATCCAGATTTTCTCCATGTGGACAGCATTTTCGCAATCGTGACGAGTCCTTGGCTATGGGCTGTATCCTATATTTTTCACGCTGCGAACAATCGGCGGGCTCGGCTGCCTTTTGAGGAGATACTTCAACAGCTGGAAACTTATTGGTGGCTAATGTTACAGCCGCCTCAGTAGCAGAGCTTCCGGATTCAAAAGCAGGGGAAATTGTGGTATTTAAAACTTCATTGGTCGTGGGACTTACTGTCCCGTTTGGGTGTAAACTGGAATACAGATTTAAATAAATATTAAATAAATTACTTTATAATTCTTTACAGTGTTTCTTACCTTGACGTATCCACAGATTCATTGGGGGATTTTGTTGCGGATACAATACCAGTGGAAATTGTGGCAGCCAAAACTTCATTGGACGTGGGACTTACTGTCCCGTTCGGATTTATGCTGCCATACAGAGTTTAATTAATATAATTACTTCATAATTGTTTATAGTGTTTCCTACCCTGACGTATCCAAGTTCAAATCCACAGATCCATTGGTGGCTTGTGCTGCAGCCCCTAAATAGCTGCATATTGCCTCTAAAATTACTAGCGTAAAGATGAGTCTCCAACAGCAGAAATTCATTTTCCTTATTTTGATTTACACTAAAAAAGGATTAATATAAAAATTAAATTTAAAATTTAACTATGAAACATAAAATTCAATTCACTTATTGAATACTGCATACTCTATGAGACAGGTATGTAAACAACCATTATGTGTGTGCGCTGGTCGTTAAAACAATGAGATATGCATTTATCTTATCTGTAGAAATCCAGGCTGGTGAGAGCTTTCCTCTCTTCTTTTCGCCCTATCAGTATCAGTATCAAGCACATGACGTCAGATTAATGTGTAAGCGCACTGGTAGCAGGTTGTTTCCCACGTTCTTTTAAAATGAATCAATTTCTGGGAAACATGTCTTCGACGAACCTGCAAAAGTCTGTATGAAGGAAACACTCAAAGGTGTTTGACGAAACTTCAAAGAAATGGACTAGCAACAGGCGTCTTTAGGAAATAATACACTTTTTAAAATTGAATTTTTTGGTGAGCTAAAAAACTCGATTACATGCTGAATGGAATTTACGCATATAATGATAAATTATGCGTTGGTTCACTGGTAAAACTTATTTATTAGGAATGCAACCGCTGAGGTTGATTAATAAATTAATACTAGCGAATAAACAGTCCGCATTCTGCCATTGTATCGGTCGGTTGGTGTAGCTGATAAGATAGCAATGTGTACAGGGCTACCAAGTGAAATATTTTTATAAAAACAGCTCTGCGTATATTGCCTTTTTATTTTAAGATTTTTTTAAGAGAATTCCTAATTGTTGAGGTTCCATTAATTTAACTCTTCAAAAATGTTTTTCTATTTGTTTCTAAAATTTGTTCTACATCAAGACATAAGAAAAGTCGCAGCAGCAAGGAAATTTTAAAATAAATCATTTAACCATATCCCGCATTTAAATCGCAACGGCTTAGCGGCAAAATTAAGACATTACGATTTATTTATTTATCGATAGCAACGATGCCGATATGTCATTTGCAGTGCTGCCAACTATCGGTCGCCATTTATAGCTGGACAGGCCAACTAAAATAGCCAAAAGAGCTCAAATTATATAAAATAACAACTTAAATAGCCGCTGTTTTTGTAAATAAATGGCCTTAATAACTGGCTTCTGCAAAATTTGGGGTTTCCCAGGTGTGGGCCCTTCAAAATAGCCTGATCTGGCCAAAAAATAGCCGAGTTGACGACACTGCTCGTTTGCAACCATTTCAAGGTTGGTACAAAAGCCGACCGACAGATGTCGCTTGCGGCACCAAGAAATGAAAGACTGATTGTGATTGGGCGAGGACTGTACACAGTTAGATGGCAGTTGGTGATGGCAGAACCGAAACGGACGTTTATAAAGTCGAATGTCTCGCATGTTTTTAAATCGTTTTAATTAAATATTCGTGCAAATAAAGCGGTCTAAATTTTAAATACGGCTTCGAATATTATTCAAAAATTTAAACAAATTTCAGAGAGTGAATAATGCTTTTGCAAAAAGCATCTCAGGGCTCAAACATTTTTAAAACATCGATGTATCGATGATCCGTCCGTGTTTTTTCCATCTCTAATTTAAAATGTTAGGTAAAAGGTTTTAGAAGATAGTTAAAAATACTTAAAAGTGGTGTGTTAAAAACTCGGCATTGTTTCTCAATATTCGTGATAAATGCGGGCAGTGGTCGCTTGTTTTGTTTTTGAGAGAAAACTGAACGTTTTGGCATACGGGAAAATTTTCACGTTCTTTAAATGGCGGACAATGTGCGTTGGCTTCATTTCCTCGCACACACATACATACAGGCAATTCTGTACTGCACAAATTCAGCCTTCTTTTAATATATTAAATCGGAACTATCATCCTTAATAGAACGGTGCTTGTTTTGGCGGGTTTTTGCTATACGGAAATATGCTGCAGTTCCGTAGAGCTCGAAAAGTGAAAAGCGAGCAATTAGCCATTGTGAATCTGATCGATTTTTTCCCTGTATGTGCCACCGAGTAAATGTGTGTTTGAATGTTCCCGTAAATGGCTGGTGGCAGTGAGAAGCGGCCCGCAGGCAAAGGCAATTTGCACTAAACAGCTTCATTCTTGTTGCAGATCTAATGTGCAGCTCCGGAGTGATAAAACGGAACCGTCTCTGAATACAGCCGCCGCACCCACGCGTAGAAATCAGAAAGCCAAATCACAATTAACAGCCTAAACAGAGGAAACACAAGCGAAATGAGCGGCCGAGGGAGCCGTAAACGTGGTCGGCCGCCAAAGACGCCGAATGAGCGGGCATCAGGACGATTCAGCTACCAACTGCTCAAGAAGCCGAAATATCTAAGCGAGGGTAAGTCGCAGCCCAGCACTCCGTCAGCCTCCAGGGGCATTTCCCCGCAGAGCGACGAGGGCAGCCGGAGCAGCCACAACAATCACAACCGTAGCAGTCGAGGAAGCGCCGCCAAAAGGGGACGCGGACGCAAGTCCACTGTGCAACCCAATACTAGCAGTTACGCCGGCAGGAAAGGTAATTGTTGTTACTGATTGTTGTTGTTTTTTCTTACCTTTTGAGTGTGCATGAAGGCGGGACAAGGATTTAATAAGCAGTTTCCTGGCGCAGTTTAGGTCTGAAAATTTTGGGAATTTCCTGGGTCCTTGGAGTTGGCTTTAAAAACGTTTAAAATTTATTTTTAGAATTTATAAACAATTTTCCTGGAACCCTGTATCCCTATATATAGGTAGGATGAAATAAAACCCTGATAGTCTGGCCAAATTTGTGGTCCGTAGGGCAGCTATATATTATTATTAATTACCCCAGTTTTTTTTTGTTTGTTTATCATTTTATTAACTTTATTCTAGTATATTTTATAAAAAATATAAAATATATAAATAAATAAGTATTTTATAGTTGTGTAAAATTATAATTGGAAAGAGTTTTTTTGTTTGCAAAAAGGTTCATAGAAACTTTGCCTGGATTCTGTTATTTTGAGCTTGAAAGGGACCAGGGAGCTCGACAAATAATGCTGTGATGTTAAAACTCTAATGTCAAAATATTTAAAAAAATATGTCTTACAAAATGTCAGACTATATTTCATGCAATCGCTTGAGAGGTAAATTCTAAAAGAAAAATATTTTAACAACTGTCTATACCTGTTTTTATAGGGTACGAGTCAGAATATCACTACGGCTCGGATTTTGGAGATTCCGAAGAGGACAAGTCAGAGAATGAGGATGATATGCTACTCACACCCAGCGACGACGAAAGCCTGGACCCAGCAAATGAAAGCGAGTCCGAATTCTCCGTATGCAGTTTCAATCAAAACGGAGCTGGCCGACCCCCGCGTCCTCCCAGCCCGGAACCCGTGTGGCTGCAAGAAGGACGCCAATATGCAGCACTGGAGTTACCAGAGTCCTCCGAGGACTTGTCCATATCGAATGCCCATGTATTACGCGCCCTTAGTATCTATGAAGTACTTCGACGCTTTCGCCACTTGGTACGCCTGTCGCCATTCCGATTTGAGGACTTTGCCGCAGCGCTTGCCTGCGACGAGCAGAGTGCTCTACTGACGGACATTCACATAATGCTGCTGAAGGCGATCCTGCGAGAAGAGGATGCGCAGGGCACACATTTCGGTCCGCTGGATCAAAAGGATACGGTTAACATCAGCCTGTATCTGATAGACACTATAACGTGGCCAGAGGTGTTGCGCAGCTACGTGGAAAGTGACAAGACATTCGATCGGAATGTGTATCACATTTTGAGTAGAACCGAATACCCATACACGGCCATTGACAACCGTCTCGAAGTGCTCCAGTTTTTGGCAGACCAATTTCTAACTGCCAATTCTGTGCGCGACGTAATGCTCCAGGAGGGACCGATTCATTACGATGATCACTGCCGCGTCTGCCACCGACTGGGTGACTTGTTATGCTGTGAAACCTGCCCGGCCGTCTATCACTTGGAGTGTGTGGATCCACCCATGAACGATGTGCCCACTGAGGACTGGCAGTGCGGACTTTGTCGTTCACACAAAGTCAGTGGCGTAATCGACTGCGTGCTGCCCCAGGAGAAGCAGGGGGTCCTCATCCGGCACGACAGTCTGGGTGTTGATCGTCATGGCCGCAGATATTGGTTCATTGCACGCCGCATTTTCATCGAGGACCAAACCGACTGCAGTTGCTGGTACTACAGCACGACAAGTAAGCTAAAAATGCTTCTCAATCGGCTGGACCCCGAGGAACTGGAAGCCCGTCTGCATGCCCAGCTGCTGGAGCGCAGGGAGGAAATTGAGCGCCAAATGAAACTGACTGAGACGCTAACCAATGAGCACAAGCACACCAAGCGGAGTCTAATTGAGATTGAACAAGAGGCTACAAACGAACAACTTGAAAAAGAGGCAACGGAGGCGGCATCGGCAGCCGAGGGGGGTGATGCCAAGTCTGAAAGCCAACCGCCGGCAGAGGGTACAAAGAAACAGGAGGAATCTAAAATGGTGACGCGACAAAAGTCAAATCAGCTGAGCAACGGCACGCTTTATTTCAAGCTTGGAATGGAGCAGGGATTCAAAAACTATATCAATCAGTATTCCACAAACCCCATTGCATTAAACAAGCCGCAGCGGAACGAGGAGCGGGACAAGCGCCGTCATCTGTCCCACAAGTTTTCCCTAACAACTGCCTCAGACTTTAAGTGGATTGGCATTACCATGGGTTCAACCGAGAATATGATCACCACACTCAGGCAAACTCTGATCAACTTTGAGTCGAATATAGCAGCGCCTTTCCTGAACCCCAACTGGGTGGCTAATAAGAAGGTCTGGAACACTGCTGTCCTAAACGCTCGCCGGGCCACGGATTTTGCGGCTGTATTGTTGCTATTTCAATCATCCTTAAAAAGCGTTGTCTTCGCCAATGTCTGGCACGAGCAACTGGGCCACACAACGCTCCAGCGCATAACCAGTGGCGAGCGAGAAGAGCGAAAGAAGCTGGAGAAGCGAGAGAAGCGGGAGCGGGATGACGAGGAAGAGCGAAATCGTTTGGCCTTCAACTACATCAAGTATTCCCTGGGCCTCAAGCACCAAGTCTGGAAGCAGAAAGGCGAGGAGTATCGTGTGCATGGACAGTGGGGCTGGCTCTGGCTCTCAAGCAGCCGACGCTGCGGTGTTCGTGCCAGACGAGCTCAACCCTTAGTGGCCAACAGGGTCTACGTACACTACACCATGGGGGAGGAGAAGGCCGTCAATGAAATTATATTGGTTGATCCACGGACGCAGCGATTTATGCAGCAATGTGAGTCGAGCAATGTAGATGGCCAGGTGTGCCATTACTTACCAGAGCAATACACAAATGTGAAACTAATTGAGGATGTCAAGGACAAGGTCAAGGGATTTATAGATGTAAGCAAAGCCCTCAATACTCCAGGCCGAGTTTACTATCCCAAAGTGGCTCGAAAATGTCGCCTAGATGATCTATTGGAGCGCCGTATGAAATTGGCGGAGGTCGAGGAGCAAATAGCTGGTAAACTTGACACCGATCTGAAGCCATTGGTAACTTCGCAACCTCAGGGGGCTGCTGTCAACAGCAAGCAGCAGACCCATCTGGAGAAGCGTCTTCTACGCCTGACTGAAGTCGCGGCCAAGGGTGGTCCTGCCAACGTGAACCTGGAGCTTGTAAACACACTGGCCAAGCAAATTCAAACGGTGCGCCTGCAGTTCAGTCAACTGAATCGATTCGCCAAGACCTTCCGTTGCTACACAAAGGAATGCAACACAAACTCAAATGCTGTATCTCAAATAACACAAAACACTTGCTACTCGCCGTTGTGCCTCCAAAAAGCGCGGGCCAAGAAGGAACTTTTACTTCTGCTGCGAAAGGCTCACACTGCGGGCAATGGCTCCAAGGAGACCGTTGCGGCCATCTTGGGAGCTGTTAAAAAACCCTCCATTCTCGAGCAGAAGCTCACAGAGGGCAAAAGGGATTCCAGCCAGATAGCAGCAGATGAGTCGGAAGATGGCAAATCACCAGAGTCCGAAGCCCCGCTGGACTTGCTGCACGATTGGGAGCAGGCGAGATCACATGCTGTTCATTTTACAGACGAGTATCTAGCCGAGTTCCTGCTGACGGAACTCGATTCATCCGGCACTAAAGTTAAGGATGAAGACAATCCCAGTAGCGGCAGCAACACCACTCCCGATTCAAACACTCAGGACTCGGACAAAATGGACTACATCGAGAGCATGGATGTTTGCAGTAATGTGGAAATTGAGAGCACTGAGGATTCCCTAGTGGCCGGTTTAACGGCCGCCTGTGCTGGTGGCAACGCCGAAGACATTGAGATGACTCCCGGCTGGCGGCGAAAGCGCAATCCGAAATCTAAAAAGTCGTATATCGGCACTAAGGATGTTTTGGATCAAACGTTGGACAAGGATATACCGCTCAACAAGCAGAACCGAAGGTTTCCCATCACTCCTCGTCCCGTGAAGCGTGAGTGTGTGAAGAAGTATGAACGGGAGTATTACGAGAATGGAACGGAACGCGTGTATTCAGCAAATTCTCCTCGGGGTCGTGTTTACCTCCTCAATGACGCAGCCAAACTGTACGAGTTGGCGGTAAAAACCGAGGACAAGGCCACAATTTCCAAGAAGCCAGCGGCGTATTCGAGGTACCCTCTCATTTCCACTTTCCTCACCCATAAAAAGAAGCGTAGCCTCTTGGTGTTGCCGCGTTTCGAGCTCCTCAAGTTGGCCCGTTTGGGCGGAAAATCAGCCGCTAATGGTTTCCATCACGCGGCGAAAAACAACACTATCTGGCAATACCAATGCTCCCGACCCCTATTTCGAACCTGCTGGTCCTATCGCACCTCCAACGCCACAACTCTGTCCAGCCTGGCCCTTCAGCTGCGCATATTGTGGTCATGTCTGCGCTGGGACGACATGATAGCGAAGCCACCGTCCACAGATGGCAAGCATCAGGTGACCACGGACACGGAGATTGTCACCTTGGAGTTGCTTAAACTTCGACATGCAGGCCGGTATGGAGAGAAGACAAGCTACTTAAGGCGAAAAGTAGTCATCCCACTGGAAATGCCAAAGACTATTAGAGGTAATTAACCCATTTTCAGGGACTACTGTTCCACGATTGATATATTGTTGTGTGTTTTACCAATTTGCAGAAGTAACATCGATAAGGTCTGGCCTGCGAAAACGAAAACGCGCTGAATCTCCTCAGCCAACTGAGCCACAAATAAGCGAGGAATGGGTCGAGGAAGATAAACTGGAGCTGTGGGAAATCAAGTTTATTGGCGAGAAACAGGAGAAGGCGCGTCTGTCCACAGTGACACGATCCGTGACATCTCGCCAAATAGAAGCAAGTGGTAATAATGGTCCAAGCTCTTCAAATGACACATCTAGTGGATCTGGACGACTCCAATTGGCTCCAAAATCGAGCGAAGATGTTAAAGAGAAAATGGAGCAACAACTGAAACTGCAACGCGCTGTTCATCAGCAGCGAAAACTGGTCGGCAGCAGCGAGGTGACTCGTTCCATAACCCCAGGTAAACAGACAGTTCTGTCTATAAAAAAAATCACCCTAAACACATGGAATCTTATACCCTTACAGTTAAAGGACAGGTTATTGGCAGCAGGCGCGTGATTGTAAAGAATCCCGATGGCACAACTCGAATTATTCAGCAGGCTGTGACACAGGTTGCTCGCACACCAGCTGGAAACGGAAACACATCGGGCACATCTGGTTCCTCTGCCGTAGCCAGCACGTCCAGCACGCCGTCTGCTCCATCTACCCCAACGCCGCACAAGGTACAGATCATAAGAGGGCCAGATGGTAAAGTGAGTGTTCGCGGCTTAAACCCTGGCCAACAGCTTGTGCAAATGCCGGATGGAAAACTACATGTGCTAACCACCACAAGTGCATCATCAAATGCTTCGACGCCGGGTAAGTGCAATGTGCATTGCAACTTTTAAAGATTTGTGTACTTATAACACCCAACATCTGATTCTTATTCCAGGAAACAAGATCAAAGTGCCCATTAAAGCGGTTTCGACTCCATCATCGCCAGCGGCAACAGCCACTGCCACGACGCCGGTGACTCCTCTGATTAAACAAATCGCAGTGAAACAGGTGTCAAGAACGCCCGGCACCCCGGCAATGGCTTCGTCGCAACGCGTGGCTTTGCCGCTAGCTCAAATAAAAAATAAACTGCTGCTGGCCCAGCAGCAGCAGCAGCAACAACAAGCAGCCGCTTCTGGCTCGGCTACATCATCGCCGTCCTTGCAAAAGACAGTGACAAAGGTGCTAAACACCTCTGCGCCTGGCCAAAACTTGCAGCAAGTATTCGTGCAATCAGGATCTAAATTTGTGGTTGGCCAAAATGCTCAGGGACAGAAGGTTATTATATCCACAGCGTCGGCACAACAACAAGGCACTTCGCCGGTGCAACAACAGCAGCAGCTTGTGCAATCTCAAGTCATTCAGCAGGCGCCACAGCAGCAGCAAACGCAGCAAATAGCTCTCAACCAGGCGGGAAGTCAGCCCACACAAAAGGTGATCCAGCAAATTGTAAACACCAGCAATGTGCAGCAGCAGATTGTGGTGGGCGGGCAACGCATCATTCTGAGCCCCGGCCAGACAATAGTTACCCAGCGTAATGTCCCGCAGAGCCAAGCCCTGCAGATGGTGCAGCAGCAGATTCAGACTCAACAACAGCAGCAGCAGCAGCAGCAGCTAGTTCAGCCACAGCAACAACAATTTGTGGTACAAACCAACCAAGTCCTTCAATCCTCGCCAAGTACTCAACCGAAATTGGTTAAGCAGCTGGTAGTGCAACAGCCGGTCGAGGAGAAAACTCAGACGAACACTGCCGAGTCGAGTGAGTCTGGAATACAACAAGTCCTCGTTCCAAACTCAACACTGGCCCAGCAACTGGCGCAGGGCAAACTGCAGGTGGCCACGGTGAATGGCCAACAAGTTATAGTGAAGCCATTGGGTAATAATCAGGCGCAAATTGTGGCACATGTCAAGCATCAGGGCGATGGCAATGCTCACATTGTGACCAATAATTCATCCACAGCCGTGGCACAAGCCAGTCCACAGAGCTCGCCAGTCAAGCAGCAGCAGCAGCAAGCGCTACCCACACAGAGCCCACAGCAAGTGGTTGTCCAACAGCAGCAATCAACCTCCAGCTATGAGTCATTGGCTCCACAACAGCAGCAGCAGCCTGTTGTAACCCAAACCGTGCAGGGGCAGCCCATGAGTGTCGAGGAAAGTCTCCTCCAGAACCAACCACCTGGAACGGTTATCAAGTGTGTCACCGCTCAGGTTTTGCAAACCGAGCATGGGCCACGCATTGTCCTGCAGGGCCTGGTGGGCAATGACTTTACGGCACAGCAATTGCAGTTGGTGCAGACACAGGTCAAGCAGCAGCTAATGAAAGGTGATTATGATTTATTTCTTACAAACAAAATAAATATTTAAAAATATATATTTAAAATCCATTTCAGCCCAAGAATCCAATGGAAAACTCGGAGTTTTGGGGCCCACAAAAATTTACCTGGCCGTTCAGCCGGAAACAGCAGTCCAATCGCAACCTCCTCCACTCACCCCAGTGCACCAGTCGGCTACGCATCAACAAGTGAGTAGCTTTTAATTGTAACTTTAAATGCGGAGCAGAGCAGTAAGGAATATAGCGGGACTTGTGGGGCTGCATTTCCTGTTTCTCAACCTAAATGGCAATTTATTTGTTCTATATTTACTTTTAAGTTTAATATTTAATTGTTCATGAAACCCAAGAGAGGCATGTTGCTGCTTTACTTGCACTTTTTTATACGTTTTGTTCGGTTCATATAATTTGTTTGTTTGTTTCTTAATATATAACTTCTCATTTATATATATACAATATACTTTAATACTTTAATACTTTGCGTTTCCCAAAATGTATACATACATTCCTAAGCGATTACCTATATAAGAACTGGATATGCTACAGCAACTCTCATTAAAAATTACACCATGGCTTAGGTTTGCAATAATTATTCAACAGGAATAGGAATATATTATTTCCATTACACAAAACGACATATTTATTTTGATTATTTAAATAAAAACCACACACGATTGTATTTAGACTAAAATTGTGAATACCTTTTAATTGTAAGTAACTATTAGATAGCGAGTACGAGCACATTAAGCAAATTACTGAATAGACCTTCACCTAATGTTATAAGCCAAGGCAAAAGTATTAGACAACATTGCTGCGAATCGATTTCTTGCCTGGAGACATTTGGTTTCTAAGTAATACCTAAAATACTTGTAAAATGTAAAGCGCTTTTTGCAATAAAACCTATTATGCAAACAAAAATACTGGGGACCAGCTCTATTTCTTTACGTACAAAAAAAAAAACAAAAACACATCCCTTTGCTAGACAATGACATTATTTAGAAGTGTATACACGATGGCTTACATACTCCAGAAAACATACTATAAAAACACTTGAAAATAATACTGGAATTAAAAGCAAGAAAGAAATGGAAAGCTGAAGTTTGAACGCTGCAATGAATGATACGATTCAAGATAATCCTTAAAGTTAATATCTCTGGAAGGACAATATACTTATACTGGCTTAATTCCTTTCTAACTTGCTTTAAATAATTCCAGGAATTTACACATTTACACACCGAGTAAGATCCACTCGATTTGCTTGTCCTGGAGAAATATATACACATTCTAGCAAAGTAAACATCCTGATCGATGTACCCAATTCCATGACCCCCAACACACAGATGTGTGAATTTTTGTTTCTGAATTAGTTGGATGATTATTTGCAAATTGGCCTTTGTGTTGACAAAAAGCGCATGCTTCTTATATAGGTATGAAGAAGGAAACTCAACTTCAAGCAAACAAAACTTGTGAATCAGTGCAAGAATAGCAAACATAAAACTGAGTAGGCCACGAATTTTAATCAGAAATCAGTTGAATTTGAGTGCAAACCAAAGGATTAATACGATAATTCAATTTAAATATTAAACAAAATCAAAAATTACTGCAGAGATTAACGACACACACAGAGTTTTAGTTGGCTGACACATTTGTGAAAGTGAAGTTCTCGCAATCGAAGGCAACTCTCTCGTTCTCTAAAACTAAAACTAAAATCTAAATATAAAATGGCAAAATAAATGAAGAACAAACGCATGTGCTAACGTCGCGATGGACTTAGTTTCTTCGAAATAAACACAAAGGCTTAACCATTTTTATAATCATCTCATCTAAATCGAAATAAAAATGTACACTTGTCCAAAATCAAATTACAATAACACGGCCAAAAAATATGGTACACCTCACACACAACTCACCGACATTCCCCAACCATCATTTACATAGCCTTTTAATCTATTTGCCACGACTTACGTTTTATTTTGTAAATCCAGTTCAATTTCTATCATATCTCTGTAATACAAATTGTCAATACGTTGAAATAAAACTCATGCTTTCACTGCTTAAAACGCCTTACTTACCATGCCTAAATGTCGCGTGTCAACAACTACAACTCCTAACTACGTGTTAATCTCTTCGCCACCACCAACTACTACTACTCAACAACAATAACTCCGACCATGATAACACATTAAAAGGTTGCCTGGAGTAAATACTACAACTGATCTCTGATTAAAGTCAGGTAGGTGGTTCTGTCAAAGCAATTTCTTTTGCTTCGTTTACACACACATAGTATGTATACATTGAAAGCCCTTCCGATTATTGATTGCAAAAGAATATATCCCAAAATTTCCTGGAACAAAACTAGATAACTGAAAATGCAAGTTATGTATTGTATGGAGTACAGGAAGAAGACGAAGACGAGGATGACGAGGACGAAATTATTGTCATCTGCAGTCCTCCTCATCGAGTCAAGTCCCCTTTTAACCCCAATGAAGTGACCCAAGGTAGCCCTTTGTTAAGTGATCCGTGCTGCAACAACACTAGTCGTAAGCTCATTCAGCAAACGCGAAAATTAAAAATTGAAAATCTAGTTCTAGTTCTAGTTCAAGATCAAGATCAAGACAATAACGAACAGCATCGCCTAAAATATGAAAGTGAAGACCTTAAACGATGTTCATTGCAGACCAACATCGAGAACGACGCCACTGGGCAAACCACTACTTATGAAGCCAGTCCAACAATTAGAATTAATTCCATAAACAATGGCAATGAGCAGGAGCATAGTAACAACTGTGCACAAACCGAAACCACTAATATAACAATTAACAAGCCCTCTGTCGGTGCTTCTTCCCTATTAGAGGGCCTAGAGCAGGGCGACAAGCCGTCAAACCATACCGATACCGAGTCACCATCAACAACAGGCGAGGAGGACAAACCGAGCGAGAGTTTTGTTGTCACAAGCGGTTACATACAGCAGTGTAAGCATTATATATATCATTTTTCAAAACCAATACATGCCTAATTATTAAATTTTGTTTTTTAAAGCCATTTCAAATGCTTTGAGGCAGGGTAACCTAAGTCCAGAACTTGAGGAGAAATTGGTTAATATGCAGAAACAACAAGAGCAACAAATGGCCAACAATTCGGACAACGATGAAGTCCACACACCAAGTCGCCGAAACATTCTATCCCGCCAGCAGAACAATGACAATGGTGAATGGAAGGCTCGGACTCCTCTAAGACGCCCGAATGCCATGACCACTTGCAGCCAATTCAATCGAGGCCTCAAAAAGAGTCGCAGACCGAACGAAGAAGACGTTGAAGAGCTCGAAGAGGAGAAACAAACCAAACTAGAACGGCACAAGGAACTGCTCAAAAAGAGCATCTTGCGTAAACGCTCTTTGCTAGAACGTAATTTACAAAACGAAATACGGGAAGAGGTACAAACTAAGGTTCAGCGACATGGACGTCCCATGAGTATCGCCTCACCTGAGGAGCAAAGCGAGAATGAACGCAGCTTCTCAGATCGCCGTAGGGAATCAGATGTCGAACTAAAGAGGTATGTATCTAAACTTGTATATTTGTTGTTCCTAATATTGATTATTATATATCACAGATCCGAGCCAAATTCTCACAACAACAGGCATGGTGTTGGCCGGCCAAAGAAGTTGACCAAAAGAAGGGAGAAGCTTTACTGCGTCTGCCGTACTCCATATGATGATACAAAGTATGTATAATGATATTTCAAATCATAAATCACAAATCTAAATCATAAATTTTTATGATTTTTAGGTTTTACGTTGGCTGCGACTTGTGCAGCAATTGGTTCCATGGCGACTGCGTCAGTATTACCGAAGAAGCATCGAAAAAACTGTCGGAATTTATTTGCATTGACTGCAAGAAGGCGCGGGAAACGCAACAGCTTTACTGCAGCTGCCGTCAGCCTTACGATGAATCGCAGTTTTATATATGCTGCGACAAATGCCAGGACTGGTTCCATGGGCGTTGCGTGGGAATTCTGCAGAGCGAAGCCGAGTTCATTGATGAATACGTGTGCCCAGAGTGTCAGCGAAAAACAGATGCAAACTCTGCTAATATGAAGACTCTTACTGCCAATGAAATTCAAGAGTTGAAAGCATTAATCAAGCAAATACAGGTGAGTCTTAAGATTATAATAATCCCTTTGATTTGTAAACAATTTTCTAATTTTCTGGCATAGGTCCACAAAAGTGCTTGGCCATTTATGGAACCGGTTGATCCGGAAGAAGCACCGGACTACTACAAAGTTATTAAGGAGCCCATGGGTAAGTTGAAAAGCTGCTTATTTGCTGCTGTTTACCTGTTAACACAAAAGACTTTCTTGGCTTAGATCTCAAGAAAATGGAAAGTAAACTGGATGCAAACGCCTACACAAAACTAGCCGAATTCATAGGCGATATGACCAAGATATTTGACAATTGCCGGTACTACAACCCCAAGGAATCGTCCTTTTACAAGTGTGCTGAAGCCTTGGAATCATACTTTGTGCAAAAGATAAAAAATTTCCGCGAAACTGTGTTTGGCCAAAGTAGTTAAGAGACGAGACACCTATGCCAGTCCAGGCCGCAGTTTAGTCTGTAAATGTAACATCAAACAATTGCAATATCATCTTTCATTTTTATTTATTTGTTTTTGTTACATTTACATGCTATACTAACGGGAAAACGTACGTTAGTTTCAAATCCTAATCTATGTACATAATAACCACATGAATTCAACAAACATTAAATGCATTTTATATGCAAACGTCATATTTTGGTTACTAGACATTAGCAAGTTTAAGGTAAATATTTTAAGTACTCCTTTTGTACAGAAAATTAAAATGTAAATAAACTATGCATTTGTTTCAATATTTAAATACTAGGATGGTAAATGGTAATATTTTATTTATTTATTTTTTAATTTAATAAATAATAAAGCATTCATAATAAAACTGTCCTAAAAATAATTGAATTATTTTGATTAGCCAATACAGGAACCGAAATATCGATTGTCCAGCACGACAATTCGATACTTGCGTTGTCCCTTCTCTAATTGCAGCTTCGACTTTGTACAATTGTAATTTGCAAAAATTGTTTTATTCTTCTCTCACACTTGAACCACCCGCCACCCAACACGGAAGTAAGTAAGTAGGACCTTAGAGGAAGAACGTCAAAAGTTTAAGTACAACAACAATTGTCATATTTTTAAATAGAGACAGCCACATCCGGCCGGTAAAATCAGATAACGAACTCGTACGAAATGTCTGCCGATCGACTGGACGTGATTATCTTTGGAGCCAGCGGCTTCACTGGAAAATACACCGTCTTCGAAGCTGTCACCGTGCTCAATGGCCTGAAATGGGGAATAGCTGGCAGGAGCCGCGAAAAGCTAGAGTCGGTGCTCAAGCAAATGGGTGACAAGGCCAAGAAGGATCTCTCCCAGGTGCCCATCTTCATAGCTGACGTCAACGATGAGGCTTCCCTGCTGGAAATGGCCCGCAGGGCCAAGATCGTGGTAAACACCGCAGGACCTTATCGCTTCCATGGCGAGAAAGTTTTAAGTGCCTGCATAGAAGCTGGCACTCACCATGTGGACGTAAGTGGCGAGCCCCAGTACATGGAGACCATGCAGTTAAAGTACGACTCGAGGGCCAAGGAGAAAGGAGTGTACGTGGTGAGCGCCTGTGGTTTTGATTCCATTCCTGCCGACTTGGGCGTCATCTTTGCGGAGAAGAACTTTGACGGAACCGTCAACTCCGTAGAAACCTTTTTGGAAAGTGGACTCAAGGAGGGCGGCAGTGGCGGAGGCAGCGCTGGCCTGAACTACGGAACGTGGGAAAGTGCTGTGTATGGCCTGGCCCATTCGGACGAGTTGCGTGGCATTCGGCAGCAGCTATTTCCAGTGAGACTGCCCAAGTTTTTCCCCGTCCTTAAGCCCAGGCCATTGGTGTTCCGCTCCACCGAAGTGAACAAGGTGTGCCTGCCATTCCCTGGCTCCGACCGATCGGTGGTGATGAGATCGCAGCGTTTCCTATACGAGCAGGATAAAAAGAGGCCCGTCCAGATGCAGGCCTACGTGGGATTCCCCTCCTGGATAGCAGCCGGCGTTGTGATCCTCTTCGCAAGCATATTTGGACTGATGTCAAAGTTTCAAATTGGTCGTACGCTGCTGCTGAAGTACCCCGGCTTGTTTTCTGGAGGACTTGCCTCGCGCTCCGGACCCAGTGAGGACTCTATGGAGCGTACATATTTCAGGATGACGTTCAAGGCCGTTGGCTGGCCCAAAGGCGACCGTTTGGCCGAGAGTTCAGACCAATACACGGAGCCCCCAACAAAGACGCTAATGGTTAGAGTTTCGGGAATGAATCCCGGATATGGAGCCACCTGTGTGGCACTGCTCTCCACGGCCTTGACCATCTTGCGCGAGTCGGACAAAATGCCAAATAATGGCGGCGTTCTGGCCCCTGCTGCCGCCTTCTCTAAAACCAGCCTCATAAGCGAGCTGGAAAAACACGAACATGGCATGAAGTTCGAGATTCTAGCCAATAAGTGAGATTTTAACCCTATATGGAATTTACCTAAAAGGGGTTTGGTTTGTTTTGCATATGTAAGCACTAATTAAATTTGCCAGCACTGTTGATAATCACTCTAGTTGTTTGTATATAATATGTGATGGTTTCAAAGTTCCGGGGAACTGTAATTGTTAACCTTTCGACAGCTTCAAGTGGTGTTGGAACTTTGTGGCCTATTCACGAAAGTTTCAATTTTTAAGTCGGGTTATTTTTTTTGTTAATATTATGTATAATTTTTATAAATCTAACTGAAAATTCAAATAAATCTATACAAGTCCGGATTAGTTCAACCAGTTTCACAATTTCTGTTATACGATTGGGAACTTGGATAAAAGTCCGGACGCAAACCAAAATATGTTGCTTTTTCAACCAGCTTGCAAATAATATTCACCACGAGTTGAAAATTACAAAATAAATTTTTCAAAATTATTTATTTGCTATTTTATTTGCTATTATTAATTTTATGCAACTGCTGCTGTATTTTTAATAAACAATATTGAAACTAAATTATATATCGAGGTCTTCTCACATCGCTAAGCAGTGAATGGCCGCTATTGCAGTGAACAAGTTTGCAAAATTTGGCTTCTTGTGAAATTAACGCACTTTTTGGATCAAAAAAGATGACCTTTTCTTTGGATACACATTTGGATAGATTCGGAAACCACATGACGGTAGTGGTGTCCACGAATTGGACGCGGAAAACTTTTCCAAGCCCATGGAACTTTTTGAGGCACTAGAGCATATTAGCAGTGAACCAAAGTAGCTTGTTTTTGGGTGAGTTTATTGCATGTTTTTAAGGCTACCGATTTAATTAGCATATAAAACTCAACAATTGTTATGAACCGCCACTTTATACTGACATTCACGACGCTTCTTCGACAGAACCTGCAGCTTGTGCTGCCTCATTTCTATCCCTGTCCCATTAACACCGGTGCTCGATACCTTGGATACGCTTTTCAATGGATACGGAAACCACATGGCGGTAGGAAAACTGTCCAGTGCCAACGGACACAAGATACACAAGATGTACAGGAGATTGTACATAGTTTTTGAACCAGGATAAGATGCCGGAAGAATCTAGCATATGGAGCACGTGCTGAGCTGTGTTTGGGGTAAGTTTATTGCATATTTTTAAGGCTACCATGCCCCGATTTAAGTAGCAAGTAAATCTCAGCAAATGTTGTGAGCCACCACTCTGTTTTGTTGTCATTGCTTGCTTTCTCGATAGAAGCTGCAGCTTCTGCTGCCTCGTTTGTCTGTCTCCCTGTACTAATAGCACTTCGGATTTTCCCTTCCGCCGCCTCCTGGGGACGACATTGCTTGGCGCACATGTGATTTGCAATTAAATGTTCATTAAATGCGACATCAACGGCGGGCCAGAGATTGTTTCCCAGCAATTAATGTTGGCCTGGCCGAAGGATCGCGCCACTGATGATGACATCCAGCGGTGCCTCAGTTTCTGCTTTATACTCCTTCGCTTAGGGATTGTTTCGTGGTCTCGCGAGAGTCGGTCGGGAGAAGCCAGGAATGTGCTGTGTAATTTACGGCCCCCGAATGGCGGTGGTCTCCGTTTATTTACGATCCTCAAATTGTGACATTTATTAGTTGGCCCTTTGTTGGCTCCTCGTTCTCGTAAAGAGTCTGGAACTGTAGCATCTTACGGCCACCTTTGATCGGCCTCTCTTTATGGTTATTTAATAAATATTCTCTCTATTCTCCTCTTTCTCCTGCTAATGTGTGCACAAGTGTTTATTTGTTACCTAACACCCCGCTGACCACTGTCCCTGGCCCTCCCTCGGGGCCCCTATCCGCGCTGACCACCATCGTTGACACACGCTGGAGCTGATCTGGTCTAAGCTGAAAAACTCTTTAAACGGCGTGTTCTGTTCTGTTCCGCTCAGGCATACATACAGGTATCGGAGGCATCGAGTTACCTTGTCATCTCAGGGAAAACCTCCCCATCTCCCTATCTCCCAGTCTCCTCTGTCATTCGATCGCTTTGAACGCGCCATAACTGATGAGGCAACAAAACAATCCGTTATGCCCCGCTCTGGGGATAGCTGAAGTTTGCACATTTCGCCGGTCTGTCTGTGAGCTCTGCGGAGTGGCTTCTATGTCGATGAACCCCTTTTTTTTGTAGAGATTTAATTTCTGAGAAATGTATAGCCAAGTTCGGTCGAAGGAAGGAAGTGAAAACAAACTCTTAGCTTTAAGGGACAAGGTTTTCAATCATATTTCTTGTTGGAGTCGAAGAGGTTTTATTGTTTTGCTCAGAGCACATGGTTCGGTTCTAATTGCTCTTGATATAAGAGTAGTTTTCCTCATCTATTTAGCTGCATTCTCTTTTTATTTACCTTTACCCTTTCAGGGTATTATAATTTCAGTCAGAAGTTTGCAACGCATTGAAGGAGACCTTTCCGACCCTATAAAGTATATATATTCTCGATCAGCATCAATAGCCGAGTCGATCTAGCCATGTCCGTCTGTCCGTCTGTCCGTTTCTACGCAAACTAGTCCCTCAGTTTTAAAGCTATCTGAATGAAACTTTGCATATAGTCTTCTATATACTCTCACTGCTATATATGTCGGAATGGGCCGGATCGGAAGACTATATCATATAGGTGACATACAAATGTTTGATATATTTGTAGAAAAAAATTATAACTTGGCTGTTTTTCAATATTATTCCATCATTTTTGAGATATAGCCATTTTATATTATTCCAGAATTTTGGTAAAAATTTTATGAAAATCGGACCACTATATCTTATAGCTGCCATAGGAACGATCGGGAAATTAATCGAACAAAATTATACCTTCGTTGTTTTTCATCGTATCTTAATCTAATTTGAGAAGGAAAAAGTTATTAAAGTAAAATAGGGAAAAGAATGTCTTGTATGATTCCATAAAAGCTCAGAAGCAGATTACTTTTACTCTTCATGGAAAATTTAACCTTTAAACTGGGTGCTTGTATTTAATAAACTAAACGGGGGAAGAGGCAACAAAGCAATTGCCATACGGTTGCGCATGCGTCCGTGTGATCGAAATCGAGCGGCGGGAATTTTAAAAGGGATGTGCAGCTTCGGTTTGCCAGTGTTTCATTATCGCCCCATTCTATGCGGCAATGTCAGGCCAAGTCCAAGTCCTAGTATCCTTATACCCTTGCAGGTTATTTTATTTCCAGTCCGAAACTCATTACGCATTGAAGGAGTCATTTCCGACCCCATTAACCATATATATTCTTGATCAGCATTAGCAGGCACATCTTTCTGGCTAAGTCCGGAAGAAAAAAATTTTTAATCAATTTTTTCAAAATTTTAAAAGGGGTTACATCATTAAAATTCTCAAAATTTGATAAAATTTTCAATTTCTAACTAAGTATGTAGATTTGTAAACCTTATAAAAACTAACATAACGCCGCTTTCCGAATGCAAATTAAGGCATTTTTGACAGAGTTATGCCTTCTTTAGTTTTTAATTTTCTGTTTTTCTCATTTCAATTACAGACTTTCCATCGTCATTGCCATCGCCATCGCTCCTAGTCATCAGGACCACCCACCCCGGACAAGAACCAAGGGAAAGGACCAACGACACACACAAAAGGATGGTGGATAAGGAATGGGAATGGAGGAACAGGGATCAGGAATCAGGGATAAAGAGAGAGCACCGCCAGTCAGGTCTGCCGGCTACTTTTACAACAACAGCAACGAAAATATTTTAATTTTAAAATACTTTATTTTATTCTTTGTTAATGAACCTAACTAAAAACAATGAAATACATTATTTAATATTATTTTGTTTTATTTTATTTTGCCGCTTTAAAAGGCGTTTTCCTAATTATTCTTTTATTTTCCTGCCAAATTTGAATGTGAATTTAACTGCCAAATTTGAATTTGAATTTAACGACGATCAGTTTCAGTGTGACCAGGTGCAGTTGTAAAATAACACCTAAATTTGGATTCAAAAGGTTTGAGTCTCCGCGTACTTGCGCCGGCTCCTAAATGGTTTGAAACTTGGACTTTTTATAACAGTTTATACCAGTTTTCAGATGCTTGCTGCTGATTTCTGTTCGCCTGTTACCCCAATTTGGGAAACGGGCAATTTGCATGGAAATGTTCGGAAATTTGGATGGGCTGCTGTAGGGATGTTGTTGTTAAAAGGTTGTTGTTGCCATAAGCTGTTGTTGTCGGCAACAAATAGGTATAAATGCATAAAATGAAATATAAGAGTTTATACCAATTATTATTTTTGCCCAAATGTTTTTATAACAGTTTATACCAGTTTTCAGTTGCTTGCTGCTGGTTTCTGTTCGCCTGTTACCTCAGTTTGGAAAGCGGCCAATTTGAATGAAAAGTTTTGCTCACTTCCATCAGTGATGCTCACTTCCATCAGTGATGCTCACTTCCAGCAGTGATGCTCACTTCCATCAGTGATGCTCACTTCCATCAGTGATGCTCACTTCCATCAGTGATGCTCACTTCCATCAGTGATGCTCACTTCCATCAGTGATGCTCACTTCCATCAGTGATGCTCACTTCCATCAGTGATGCTCACATCCATCAGTGATGCTCACTTCCATCAGTGATGCTCACTTCCATCAGTGATGCTCACTTCCATCAGTGATGCTCACTTCCATCAGTGATGCTCACTTCCATCAGTGATGCTCACTTCCATCAGTGATGCTCACTTCCATCAGTGATGCTCACTTCCATCAGTGATGATCACTTCCATCAGTGATGATCACTTCCATCAGTGATGCTCACTTTCATCAGTGATGCTCACTTCCATCAGTGATGCTCACTTACATCAGTGATGCTCACTTCCATCAGTGATGATTGTCCCAATAAAGAAATATAGCTAGATGAGCATCACTGCCATTAAGCCTGATATATTGCCTCCCAATACGGCAAAAATTGCTACATGAGCATCACTGATGCAAAGTCTGATTTTATAGCCTCCCAATATTGCAATATAGCCAGATGAGCATCACTGCCATTAAGGAAGACTTTATTGCCCCCAATATTGAAATATAGCCTGATGAGCATCACTGATGGAAGTGAGCATCACTGATGGAAGTGAGCAAAACTTTTCATTCAAATTGGCCGCTTTCCAAACTGGGGTAACAGGCGAACAGAAATCAGCAGCAAGCATCTGAAAACTGGTATAAACTGTTATAAAAAGTCCAAGTTTCAAACCATTTAGGAGCAGGCGCAAGTAAGCGGAGACTCAAACCTTTTTAATCCAAATTTAGGTGTTATTTTACAACTGCACCTGGTCACACTGAAAATGATCGTCGTTAAATTCAAATTCAAATTTGGCAGTTAAATTCACATTCAAATTTGGCAGGAAAATAAAAGAATAATTAGGAAAACGCATTTTAAAGCGGCAAAATAAAATAAAACAAAATAATATTAAATAATGTATTTCATTGTTTTTATTTAGGTTCATTAACAAAGAATAAAATAAAGTATTTTAAAATTAAAATATTTTCGTTGCTGTTGTTGTAAAAGTAGCCGGCAGACCTGACTGGCGGTGCTCTCTCTTTATCCCTGATTCCTGATCCCTGTACCTCCATTCCCATCCCTTATCCACCATCCTTTTGTGTGTGTCGTTGGTCCTTTCCCTTGGTTCTTGTCCGGGGTGGGTGGTCCTGATGACTAGGAGCGATGGCGATGGCAATGACGATGGAAAGTCTGTAATTGAAATGAGAAAAACAGAAAATTAAAAACTAAAAAAGGCATAACTCTGTCAAAAATGCCTTAATTTGCATTCGGAAAGCGGCGTTATGTTAGTTTTTATAAGGTTTACAAATCTACATACTTAGGTAGAAATTGAAAATTTTATCAAATTTTGAGAATTTTAATGATGTAACCCCTTTTAAAATTTTGAAAAAATTGATTAAAAATTTTTTTCTTCCGGACTTAGCCAGAAAGATGTGCCTGCTAATGCTGATCAAGAATATATATGGTTTATGGGGTCGAAAATGACTTCGGACTGGAAATAAAATAACCTGCAAGGGTATAAAAATTATAACTTCGTTTTTTTTCAACGTATGTTTATCTACTCTCAGATATGAGCTTTTTTTTATTATTCTAGAATTTTGGTATAAATTTTATAAAAATCGGACAACTATATCATATAGCTGCCATAGAAGCGATCGGTAAATGTATAAAATAGAATGTAAAACTGAAACTGTCAAACTGTAAAAATAATAAGTATAGGTAAAATGTAATGAAACTTTGTATAGTGAGTGTACTCAGCATTTAAAACTATAATATAAACATTAAAACCAATCTGCAAGGGTATACAAACTTCGGCGTGCCGAAGTTAACTTCCTTTCTTGTTTTTAACTATTTCTTGTATTGGGCAACAACAATAACCTTTACCTAACTGTTCCAAATACAATTTGTTGTGGAATGTATATGGTTGGAGATCAGTCGACCTTTTGGTCCCTGAATTTTGTTAAAATTAATAAAAAATTCCTTTTAATAAATTTAAATTAAAACTCCCAAATTTATATTCATCATCTATTTGCTTTTCGCACAACAAAACCTCAACTTAAAACCTAGAAAACAGCTTTCTTATCGGGATAACCGAAGAAACCGACGCTCTTGAGCTCCATGGCCAGCTCGTGGTCGCTGCCAATGGCCTTATAGAGGGCCTTCTCCAACTCGTCATACTGAAAGTGGGGTGGAAAGGGCATGTCGTTGATGGCACTGAAGAGGGTGTTCCCGCGCTCGTTGCCAATGACCAGGGTACGACCGCAGTGGGAAAATCTGAAGAGAAGAGAGAGCATTAGGCATAGGAAGAATCCAAGTCCGGGTGGCCCACTTACTGCGCCACCGTGTTGAAGGAGGAGTCCATCTTGTGCTTGGACATGGGGCGCAGCAGGTTGCGCCGGAAGTCCCACATGCTGGCCGTCTCGCGGTTCACCGCCACAATGATGGTGGAGTGTGTGGGGCTCCACCTGGCCCAATGCACCGGCGTCATGTCGTCCTGTAGCTCCAGCAGTGGCCGTGTAATTCCATCAATCCAGACGCGCACACACCTAAGGGGAGGAGGTATTCCCTTGCCTATTGGGAAACTTGGATCTGATAGATACACGATACCCACCAGTCGTTGCCGCAGGTGAGGAATAGCTTGGGCGACCACGGCGAGAACTCCATCACTGTGACACCGCCGTCATGGCAGCGCAGGACCTCGAGGTACTGGTGCTGGTAGTTGATCGAACACTTGTGGATGCAGCCCTCGTCCGTGAGCACATAGTAGATATCCTTGTGCAGCGGATGTGTGGTGATGCTCAGGCCCTGTGGATGTCGATTCGACTCGCAGCGTATCCGTGAGTGGGGATGGACAAAGATGCCTTCGGGATGGCCTTCGACGCGCTCCAGGACCATCTGGGTGAAGCCCAGCAGGAAGGGGCTCTTAATAATGCGGAAACGGGTCACCGATCCGTCCTGCGATAGGCTGAGAAAGGGATCAATCTCCCCATTCTCGTCATTGTCATTGTCATCCACCTGCTTGAGCCAACGAATGGCCACCACCGGAGTGCTGCCGGGCGAGGTAGCGCGCTGAGAGACAGCCACGGGCGTGTCCTGCAGGCTGCTTATGTCCCGCACCTCGACGCTGCCGTCGTACAGACCGATGGCCAGCAGGCTGGGCAGGAAGGGCGAGAAGCTGATGGCCGTCACGGGGACATTGTAGTAGTAGGCTCGCTCCGGTTCGCTCGGGTTCTTGATGCTCCAAACGAAGACGCTGCCCGAGGCGGGCACGTACTGCGAGGAGAAGGAGTACAGGCCGTAAGCCACGGCCAGAATATCGCCGTTGCTGCGACAAAAGTCAATGTCGCTGACGGCCTTGCGCTCGCCCTTACTGGGCTCCGGCACCAGTCGGAAGAGCAGGCTCATCGAGTAGTTATACTCGGCCTCCGTATTGGTGCGGTCCACTTGGTCGAAGTTGCGGAAGCGTCGCATCCCCTCCTCGTACATATTGCTCGACAGCGTTCGACCCACGTACATGATGGCGTTGCGAAACTCAGGGCTCTTCAGCAGTCGCTCTGTCTGGGCCGTGATCTTGTCCTTTTCGGCCATGACCTCCTCCTCCTCGAATTCCTCCTCCATGACCAGGTCGTCTGGCACCGTCGGTGTCGATGGCATATCCTTCAGCGAGGCCATATGCGAGACATTCACATCCCTGGAGATGTTGTTCAGCGTGTCGTACATCTCGAAGTTGGACACGTAAGAGCTGACGGTGGCGCTGGTCAGCAATATGGTGTTCACCGCCCGCGACACAAACAGAACCGTGTCCGTCTGGGCATCGTTGTCGGAGCGACGCCGGACCTTGCCCTTGCCGATCGTGAGATAATCATAGGCTCGGTTGTCCCGCTCCGTCTCCTCGCCCTCGGGCGTGCCCTTGGCCGCCGTCGTCTGTGACTGACTGTGCAGCTCAAAGAACACGGACTTGCGTAGAGTGACCTTCACGAAGGACTTCTTGTAGGGCTTCGGTTCGTACGGGTTGCTGGCGTTTTCCAACACGTGGTAGGGGTCAAAGTTGATCGTCTCGAATATGATCTTGGGGAAATAATGGCATAAGTGGGAAATGGATGGAAGATGAGATATCCTAGTAGGCTCACCCCGTTCATAATGTCATCGATGGATTGTTTGTTGCCACCGATTCCTGCCCTCATACTGGACCGCGTGCGGGATCTTATGGTGCTCCTAGACAGCATTGTTGTGAAATTGGTTATTTGGTGGAGGACGTTCAGATTGAACTTCATGAACTGCTCGACTATTGCATCGTTCGTTATCGGCTTGGGCGTCATGTCCACCTTCTCGCCGTTCACCTCCTCCATCACCTGTGGCAGCAGATTATCACAGTCATTACCTCTGAGCCGACTCTAAGTGCTCACCTTGATCTGTGCTCGGTACTCCACATCGTTGAGCGTCTCCACATGGTAGTAGTGGACGGCGTCCTTCTTCTTCGAAGCTCTCCCGAGATCGGAAAAAAGCTGGTTGACCTGCACCGACTTCTTTTTGTCGGCATCTAAGTTGCTCCGTCGGGAGTCTTCATTCGCCTTGAAGAAAGAGGCAGTATTTCGGACACGGGTTATGGACATGTTAATTGCGATTTTGAAAAGTTTTCAAAGGGCTTTGGTGGTACAAGAGGAAAGTTATAAGAGTCTTTAATGTTTTTTTTGAGATGTTTGAATTTCCATCTAAAAAAGCGATAATTTCATTGGTGGCTGAGTTTCTTACTAAAAGTTTATAGAAGTGTTTCAGGATGTTATGTTGTTCAAATAGCGAATAATACATCTGTTTTGATAAATAGAAAGTGTTATTTCAAGACAATATAAGAATCTTAAAGCATATTCGAATGAATTCTTATTATTTAATTTTAATAATAAAGTTGTTGAATAATTATTAGTTTACAATTTCAGTCAGAAGCTAGTAATGGTGTGGAGGAATCATTTCCGACCCCATAAATCATATATATTATTGATCAGCATTAACAGGCGAGTTGATTTAGCCAATAAAAATAAAAATAAAATTTTTTTAAATTTTTTTCAAAATTTGATAAGGGGTTACATCGTTAAAATTTCAAAAAATTTGAATGTTTTTTAATATTTAATTCAGTATGCAGATTGTTAACCTAATAAAAACTAACTCAGAAATGCTTTCCGATTTGAGATTAATGCATTTTTGGCTTAGTTATGATAGATTATGGTCCCCTGATACTACTATATATGTATATATGTATATACTGCTCCAACTCTATGGGTATACAAACTACGACTTCCCGAAGTTAGCTTCCTTTCTAGTATTATTTAAATTAAAAGAAATAGTTGCACATTTAAGTAACTTTTGCTAATAATATTTTTTAATTGAAATGCTGCAAATGAAACAACTAATTGGGGAAACATATTCGCCGCCATTCCATTAATAATTTTTAATTAAACCCGAGCAGCTCTTCCGCCATTCCGTATGCTCCTCCTTATCAGGAGCAGCACGTGCCCCTGGCCCTGACGGTAGCTCCTGCTACGTCTCTCCACTGCTTGGTTCATTCTCTCTCTCTCTCCATGCTGCGCCTGCTCTCGCCAGATAAAAGCCAGATAAAGTTAACACTTGGGCGAGGAGGAGGATGCGAAGGAGCAAACCACCCCCTGAAGGACGGCGCCCGGCCGCAGGTTGTTGTTGCAAGTGCGAATCAGTTACAGTTGAACCCGTCAGCCGCCCAGTCGCCACCAAAGCTCGTTCTTTCGCGTCCGTTCACTCTCCCTGCTTGAATGTTGTTTTGGTTTAGTTGAGATTCGTGTTTTTCTGCCCGTTCTCACATGAGATAAATTGCAACATCAGCATCAATAGGAGCAGCAGCGGGCCTAATTATGGAGCCATCAATGGAGTGCCAAACAAGTGAAAACCGAGTACCAGAAAACTCAATTAGGAGCACTGCAAGCAGAGCCCAGACACAGACACAGATACCGCCGGCAGCATCTGGCAAGGCGCTGCCCAAACCGCAAATCCAAACGACTTCGGTCTTACAGCAGCAGCAACAGCCGACGCAGTACGTCATAAATTCAGTGGCCATGCACGCCAAGGCAACCACGGCGGGCGTCATCACGGGCGGCACTCTGCACCGGGTGAAAAGTGCGCAGGTAAGTGTACACACAAGTCCAGGCCAACGTGACGCTAATTGGAAGGTTAACTCCAGTCGACATGGAATGGATAATGGATATGGATGGGCGGCGTGTGTCCATTGACTGTTATGCGAGGTGGACTCGAAGGGGTAGTGGGAGGAAAGTTAGGGTTGAATAGAGAATTCTGGTAAATAATCAAAGATGTTGGTATATTTTTAAGGGGAATTGGGGATTTTTTTACTCAGAAGCTTATTTTTTCTGAACGTTTTTTACATTCTACTGATTGGGATATTTCAAAGGAATCTCAGGGTTCTTGTGATAAGATAGCAGTTATTTTTGTTCTATAAAATGTTTTTTTTTAAGCCCGAGCTTATTAACTGCAATCTTCTGAAAGTTTTTTACATTCTACTGATTGTGTTTACCAAGAAATACCTTTGTTTCCCGTACGGTTTTGCATTTATCAGCAAAATACAGTGTTAATCTTAATTTATTTTTTATTGTTTCTTTGTGAGGTAAATGCTGTTCTTTTTGATACATTGATCAGAAAGTTGCCTCTGATGATTATCTATAATCTCTATAAAGAAGAGTTTATGGCCGGATTTATCAGTTTTAGCACATTTTAGCAAGTTTTCCGTTCTTTCCCCTAGATAAGACTTTTATTTACAACTCTTACTTCTAATCCTTGCTCAGTCTGCCCCAGCATCTTCTTCCAAACTCATTGAACCAACCTCGGTTATGTGGTCAGATACAGATACAGATACGAAAGCTTGTTACAATGTAGATGCGGATACACACCGCTATTGTGGGCTACGCAGAGTGCGTAGTAACGTAAGTGCGACCACTGTTTCGCCGGCTAACCGAACCGAGCCGAGCCACGCCGGCTGCTGGGTCCCGTCCAGTACAGGTGGAGGCTGTGCCTCCCGAGGAGGAGGCCGCATGCGTGAAGAGAGGACGTGGACGAGGACGCGCGCCCTGTGCCGTGTTATGTAAACACCGCCAAGAGGGAGCATCGGTCGAGTCGTGACGTGAACAAAAGTCGGGATCTGACTCCCGACTCGCAACTGGCAACTGGCAACTGGCAACTGGCAACCGCTACCTACGGCTTCTGCTGACTGCCTGATTCCCGTGGAGAGACGAGGGGCGTCCGGCGCAGCGCGGCGCGACGCGGTGGTGGCTTCTGTGCGAGTCACGTCATTCATCAGATGCTCCCTGATGCGAAACATAATTTGCATGGGGTTGGGAGTGGGAGTGCTGTTGGGAGTAGAAGTGCTGCCACTGGGGTGATCCCAGAGATGCTTCGAACTATCTGAAGTTGATGAAGTGGAGCCGAGTCGGGGCTCTCTAGACTGTATAATGTATTGGCCACTCGGCGAGGAGGAGCAGCAGGCTCTTGGTTTATCGAAAAACCCAAGACTCCTTTTGACTTTTGCCTAGGAGAGTCTTGTCTTGACTTATCCCGCATCTTCGCAGGGGTGGCTGCTCGCTTTCGATTTTATTTTTTATTCTTTAACTTCGATTTTTCAATGTCCTTGCCTCTGAACTTGCCCGCAATTCGACTTGGCACGGGGGGGTTGTTCCACCACCCACCCGAAACAACCAACGTACGCTCCACACCTCTCGGTCTCACGTTGCTTGTCAGCAGCGCTCTCTGCTGAATTTATCTGCGAGAGCACAGAGCTGCCAGCTTCTCTCCCATTTGAGTTATCCTGAGGTTGTCCTTCTGGCTTCCACCGTTTGTTTTGCTCGACAGCATCTCGTATCTCGAGGGGTTAATCAACCTTTCCGGAGCAGGCAAAAGATGTGCGCAATTTAAGTTTGTTGTCCTGCGAAGAAAGAGGGGACAAAGGATGAAAAGGCAAAGGCTATTTATGATATGAGACTCCTGAGTATAGGGAGATAAGCTCGGAGCAAGAAACTTTACCAGAGGTTGGTTATTGGTGTCTTGTGTTTATGGGATAAACCATATTAAGATTCTTTTTTTATTAGAAGAAACTACTTAGATATTTACCAGATTGTAGACTATTTCTTAAGCTTGGAAGTATTTATTTTTTTGGTTTTGTTTTCAAAAGGTTTTTCATATTTCCATAACAATTTTTATTGAATATTTTTATCGTATCTTCTCTTAAATAAATTAATTTGGATTTCTTCGGTATTAAAACCCAAACCTATTTTGTTGACAAAATCTAAAATACCCTAAGCTATACATATGACTTCAAGTTGTGATATCTACATATATTCCGTGTTGACTGTATCTTGTCAGTCGTAAATATATTTTACGTCCCCTCTAGTGCTCCTCCTGCCCCTCGCTTCATCCACTTTTTATCCAAACAATTTAAATGTTCGAGCTGCACGTTTTATTGTTACAACTATGTTTGTTCATTGGAGGATTGTGTTCCATGGAGGATTTTGTGAGTGGCGAGTGGCGCTTTGGCTGATTTATGAATTTATTCCAATGGCAATTGGCGCGGCAAGCCAAAAATGCTTTTAGCTGTGTCTAGGAGTGCCTCGTCCGGCGGCTGGGAATCGAAGTGGAGACCCGTGAGCAGCGGTGGCCACCAGTTACTGCCAAGAGCGAGGCATTGCACTGCACTAGCCAGTCCGTGCTGGTGGCGCCAACATATTTCTGCTGTCGCATTCAAATTATGAGCTCTGACTGCGACTCTGACATTGGCTATGAAAATTATGCATAAATCGTTGGCTCTGCCAGCAGTTAAAAAACAACGAAAGAAAATGTACAGAAAGACCGTATGGAAAGGCCTTTCCACTGCTGAAAAGAGAGAAGAATAAACAAACGAAGAAAGTGGAAAGCGGCGGAAAAAAGTGAAGAATTTACGTGTACGTGCTGGAAATTCCTTAATTCGTTGTTAGCTGTAGAGAAAAAAGAGAATTATTTCGGTGTTTATTCTCAAATTTTCATGTCACGTGACGGCAGCTGAAATATCTTTGAGATACGACCGAAAAACTAACATTTCCTTTGAGTATTTCCCGGTTAAATGCCAACATGCAATAGTGTTTGATTACATAATTGTGGTTTTCGGCTTGTACTTAATATGCAATCGATGGAAAGCCCCAAGAAACTTGAGGGTTTCCATCCTGGGAACACGTGTATGTACCTCAGAGATCGTTTGACCCAGCTGCTGCCATAAATAAATTCTTCTCTGCCATGATAATCGGCGCTCGACGAATAGTTCTGCAAGTTCTGGGATGCATCGGCGGTAAAAATATGTCACGCACGCCGGTCCACTCTCCGAACTCGATTTAATTTATGCAGTTTGGGGGGAAAAGAGATCTTACAGTTGCAGATTAAAGCGTTGCGGCATTTAATAAATTGCTCTTAAATTACAGAAGAAGAAAACAGAGCGAGGCGAGTCCGCGGAGCAGAGTCAGCGGAGATTTATGGAGGAGTCTTTCGAGGTAGAGGTGGGAAAATGCGTATTTAGGGAAAAGCGGGCGATAAGCTTTATAGTGTATCTCACACCGTAGGCATCATCATCATCATCAGCATCATCATTTCGAGATTAACATCGATCGAAGGCGATCGGCTCGGGCTTTCTTCCGCTGCCATTGCTTGACCCATTAAACCAAATATGTCAGATGGCGTCGTTAATGATCGTTTTGGGGGTATTCCGACAGAGTTTT